TTCTCATAGCGCTATGCATGAAAAGGCGGAAATATTTAACATAAACGAAGGAAAGAAGAAGTTAGAAAGATGTGTGAAAATAACTAAAGAGAGAAAGCCATTTTAAACATATGTTTTTAGTCGAGATTTGAATCTTGATTTGATTCTCGACGAAAAATGAGAACCACTAAACTACTATTTGTATTGAAAGACTAACCAACGTCCACTCAATATGGAAATATAGACCACTGGTCGAAGTAGTTTTTTTTACAAACGATTACTAAGACATTAGAAAAAATTGTGGTTTATTCTTTTCACGTTTAAACTCATAAAATAGAATAATTGCCTCAACATTTCTTACGGTTTGTCCCAAGAATAGTACAACAAATGGAGATTGTTCCCAATGCAACGACACACCTTGCACATGGAACAATATGGCATCGTTCTTGCATTTAAAAATTGAGGCACACCGAAAGAGCATTGGAATGGACATTGGACTCCTTGCTTGGACAATATGGATGCAATTGTTTCTGAACCATACTCTATGCCTAATACCGTAGGAGTATGTTGCTTGAAATGCGATGACAATGTGTAAACTTGTGATGTTGTTCATCCATTGACCCTGCATTATGTTGCTTTGTGTCCTTTTTCTGTACAGTATTATGTTGCTTACCTGGATTTAAATAGATAGTATCTATAGACTTAGTATGGATAGTCAACAATTAGAAACAGCATTTGCGGTTCTAGAGTGTAGTTTCAGCATGCTCGTATGGTGACTTATATCGTACAAAAATAGTTTGGATATATGTACTTTCTACAGATACTTTTTCAGCACATTTGGGATGGAAATTCCCAGTTTACCAAAAAAAAACACACCCCCTCTGCCGTAACGAGAGAAGATTTCCCAAAATGGTGATTAAGCCTTGTTGGAAAATCCGCGGTGTGCTGCGTTTATAAACATATTAAAATTCCCAACAAGCAACCGTTTCGAGACATTTTAGGATCGAGGTCACGATATGAAAACTATTCAATGGATCTGGCTGAAAAGTGGATGAACAATCAACGCTAATGATGCCAATCTGTTTGGAGTCAGCTGTCTTAGTATACTGCATTGTACTTTTTATGTCCAATACATTATATTCACTAGAATGATAGTAAGTAAGAGGGTTTGCTTAATTACTGAGAGGAAGGTATTGTATTATTCTCAGGTTATGTTACAGAGTGAAATTTCTAACAAAAAAGCCATCTTGTACTCGTCTTGACGTCACCGAGTCTAATCTGCAAAATTGTGGCTTAATAAATAGCAGGCTTTAATTATATAGGCCCGAGTATCACCACCCACGTGTGATACTTTGATGTAGTTTATAACTCAAAGGCGCTCTATAAATAAACATAAGGTGAGATAAAAATGACTCCATTCTCAACCCTCACGTCAATTTGGGGTTTCGATTTGATTCAAGCATCAAAGTGAGACGAACATCGAATCATTTACTTTCTGTCCCATTTTTGCCACCTCGATTGTAGTTCTTTTTGTCTCATTTGTACAGTTTTGCTTGTTGCATTAGCCTCCAAATTAGCATTGCATATCATTTGTATAATGTGTTCATACATATTCTTAGCTCTTTCGGTAAAGTCACGTTGAAGGGAAACAATAAAATAATAAAATATATATAAAACATAACATGATCATGTGTTCATACATGATCATGTTATCGGTTCAATGTATGTACTCCGGAGCATATCTATGTACGCACTTGTCAAGCGCATATTACAAAGGATTGTTAGCACGTTCACAAATAGTGTATAATGAATATAGCGTGTAATTTGGTATGATTAGTATAACGAGCTCAATATGTAGTGAATTGCACTCATCGGCTGTCATTCTTCTGCTAAATTAGTCCAATGCAAATGTGTTTAACCAAACGGTTCTGGGTGAAGTTCCCCTTGCACTCAGCCCCCAGGTGTTGGACCCAACGTCCAGGCAGCGTTTGGGCTGAACAGATAACTTGACCAAGGTCACAATAACAGTATTGGGAAGTATGCATGATCTGTATACGTGTACACGCTGACCATAATGTTGGCTTTTGTATGTATGGAACATAAACGAAATAATAACAAAATCTATGCGAGTTCCCACCCCTCAAACAGGTGGTGCTCTGCTCCCGTTAACAGCACCGAAAAATGTATTGGAACTTCTACATTCAGATGTCGATAACAAGTCAATCCATAGAGTCCGTGTGCCAGAGCAGACACAGGTACCACTTAAGGTAGATCTTTATTAGTCCATTTATTTTTACGGCTAATAAAAGTGAACTCTTTTTTTTATATAATCCACGCATTGCAAATGGCTATCACAAAATTCGCTGTTATTGGCCACATAAAGAAGTTGGAATTACTTAGGTTATGCCTCCTCAGGTGGTATCAAGAAGTTAAATATCTGGTGGAAAGATGTGTTCACAATTTTACATCGTTGACGGCTGTGGATTCACAATGGCACCAGGCAGGTTGAAATCCACCTTTTGCAACCTTTAGCTACCGGCAAAAATTACACTTCTCCCTCACGGCCAGTTTTTTTTAGAAAGGACATGCTGAACACAACAGTGACATCCATACACTTAATGAGGCTTTTGTCAGTGTAAACTATAACTGGGGTCAGGACAGGTCACCAGGTGGTTTGTTGAGTTCCAACTCAAATTGTGTTACTTTTAATTTTACGAATGTTTTGATATCACATCTGCACTGGTCTGAACCGTTGTTTTTAACTGGACTGTTTATCTACTTTTGTGATGTATTTGCCAGCTACTATGAATAAATGTCAAAAAACACGAGTATGTGTGTATATATATGCCTGGGTTAAATTAGAGAACTTTGTTGTGACACTGGGAGTCTGTTGTTAATAATTAATGTATTGCTTAAGGCCACAACTTCTGCTTTTATAAGCAGGTGGTGTGATGGAATCTTTTAAATATTTAATTGCTCTTGGTATAGAAAGACAATATCGAATGGCAGAGAGACCCTGGAAAACAGAATGAGATAGAGACAAAGAGAGAAACAGAAAACCATATATTAGTGGAAACATCACTCCTACTCAATAACGGGACAATATTCAACACAAAAAGCAAGCAAGATTGTATCCAAATTAAATTTTGATTTAAAGCTTTCGTGACTGCAGTAGTTCATATTCTTAGCTCTTTCGGTAAAGTCACGTTATATATTTTATTATTTTCTTGTTTCCCTTCAACGTGACTTTACCGATAGAGCTAAGAATATGTATCCAAATTGTCATTTGGCATTACTGTGCAGAATTGTGGTCCAAGGCATTTCTAAGTCCTTGCTTAAACAAATGCTGCTTTGTGATATTTGGCTGGAAGACCAGTCGGCTAATGGACTAAAATATATCTATCATAGTATTAATAATAATATATTACTTGAATTTCCCGGCTGGCTGCTGGCTGGGCTCCTCTTCACCCTATCATGACTAGTTGAGTTAACTGGCTAAACATTACATTGAAATGGCGGAAGAAGTTCGGAAGACATTTAATAACAGCGAAACTGAAAAGGTGGGAGTAATGAACAGTGAAGACTGACTCGGTTAATCAAAATTGCCTAAACCTTTAGATGTGTGCTCCTATTATGCAATTATTTTGCCCGTTTATTCTTTAAATCCTGGAGAATAAAAAAAACTCTACAATACATAAAAATCAGATTACTTATTATGCTCTGAGTATAGGATTGTGAGAAGAGTATGGAAATGACGGCTGTCTTTTATTTTCCATTACAGTGCAAAGGGTTCTCTCCTAGCATTTAAAGGTACGTATTCTAAGGGTGAAAACAACAGCACACGAGTCAGGTCCAAGAGAATTGACCTCGGAGATTGAGACAAGTAGTGGACACTATTAATCTAGCTCTTTACTGATTGTTGGATTGGTGGATCATACAGTGACCATAAGTACTTGGGACACCCATCTGGGAGGGCAAGAGAGTGATTCCGCCAACACGAGGCAGCATAACAATTAAGTTACAAAGTCTTAATTGATCCTTGTAGTAGTGGCACTGAGGTATCTTGCACTCGAAAGCAGTTAGATAAACAATCCGTGGCACCATCTTCCTGAGCGCGAATGAGATAAGGGAGATACTATGTTGCAATTGACAGAGTGTGAGAAATAACAGGGGAGAAATCATAGGGAGAGGCTTAGAAACAGAAGGAATTAGATTTGAAAAAATGAAGGAGAAAGGCGAGAGACAGTGAGTGGGACAGGGAGAAATCATAGGGAAGTGAAGGGAGAAACAGATAACGGGACAGAGATGGGGATGCTACTGCTCAGAGAGGAGAAAATACTGCCACTGACAGGCAGGAAGAAAACGGAAAGTGATAGTCAATGTAAGCACACCCTACCGAGAGGTAGAGAGAGCTGCTGATTAATTTCTTTACAATGCAAGAGCCATTGAGATGTATTATCCACTTTTTCAAGGTGAACCAGTGCCATTGTTCGATTGTTAGGATATTGTTATTGTTGGAGCCAATATTGTGGTGACACATGCCTGTAATTGGCACTCAGGAACTGAGGTTTGCGGAACACGCAATGATACTTTTATAAATAATTCCATACAATAGAGGAAATGGCAAAACATTTTGAGCAAGGCGCTTGAGAATGAGTTGAGGATTTTCTGTAAAGAACTATGAATAGTTATAAATCGTCAGTAAATTATTTCGAATGTATGTGGCCTACGCTCGTGAATGTCACCAGGGTTCAAATACAAGTTGTAACAAGTGGTGCAATTTTAATAACTAACGGAATAATTGAGAGTGGAATGTTGTTTAAAACAGCAATTTTATTTTGAAAATAATATTTTGGTCATGATTGTGTTTCGTTTTGTTTTTGTAATTTATCTTTTTTTAACCTTTCAACGGTATTGTTTGTCAGTGTTTCCCCAGATCCCCCTCTCAGAAGACACATTCTGTCATGAACCCTCTTGTCAGGTTGAAGAATTAGTTTGCAAATCATCCACTTCCAAACGTGTTTTTCTTTACAACTTTAATATATTTTTTTGTAAGTGTTTCACAGTGTGTCAAAGGCCTACACTCAGATAAAACAAATATCTCTGTATTATATATAAAAATATATCAACTACTGATGAACAACATGTAACATAAGTAAATAGTTTGCATACAAAACTAAATTTGGTAATCATTTGTTGGTCATTTATGTAACCAGATGAGAACCCAAAGAGATTGTAAGTGAGAATTGGAAGACATTTCAGAATAACCCCAGCGAGCCGGTGTTTAGCTCGCTAAATGTTGCACTTAGCCAGACCAATGTCGATGTTTTAATATAATTCAGCCTCCGACGCCACCTGCAGTACAAATAGATGGTCGTGGATTTTGTTGCTGTAAATATCTCCCCATTGGCCCGTCTCACTATAACTCTCGTCTCTTGCTTTCTTTCACTCCGTCTATCTCTTTCTTTCTCTCACTCCATTTTTGTATTATTTGTTTTTAATTCTCGGAGGACATTGGCACAACTCAAATGTAAGTACTTTGCAGCACAATACACTATAGCTACAGTGCTAACTTATTTTTTTATATTTTTTTAATATCTAGCATTAAAAACACAATTGTATTAAGCATTCATGTTTAGATATAGTGTATAGGTTATACAATTGTTTAGGTATTATTATATGTATATATTATTTTGATGTTCATTGTATTTGCAGCTAGCTGGATTTTTCAGCAAGCCTGATTCGGACTCGCCCCCCGCTAACCAGGGGTTTACCAGTTCCCTAGGTACAGTTATTACGCACGTTACTATAAGTGTAATTTTTAAATATGAAAATACAGTCACAGTCCTGGTGGCTTAGTATCTCAACATGGCCTTTATGGTCCTAACAGTAAAACCCAATTCCAAAGGCCTGAACCTCGGGTCTTCAGATGTGTTTAATTGGTCCCTTATCATGGGCATTGTGAGCCCTCTGAGAAAGACACCCACCCCAGAATTTGAATCCAGGTCATGAAGGGGTGCTGATGCAGTGCCCCAACATGGCTATTGCGAGCCTCCTGAGAGAGGACCCTTATCCATAACCAGTTTAGTGGATACCAACTGAAGTCAGCTGTTACAGTCATTGATAGTTTTTGACACAAAATCATTGTTTTCCCTATATAAAAAATACAATTGCTAAGCGAAATAAAAATGTTAAATCCATGTTTGCTACTGATGGAAATACATATATCTAGATAATCTGTTTCATGATATACCATATATGCAGTTTCTATAAATGTTTTCTGTTAAAGGTCAGAATTTACCTCTCCAATTGACGATGGTCATACAAAGCTTGTAAATGTTAGTGGTGATGGCAATGGTGTTATGACTTGAAGACTTGAGCTCATGATGATTTTGGAGATGGCAGCACATTCATCAACCATGGCCCCAAGATTTGAACTCAAAATCACAACCATGCTTTGACATAGACCCTCAGTGTAGACCTCATTGTAGCTGGCTCATCGGAGCTCCAGGCTTTACCCCAAGCCTCTTAGAGGTGCTCACTAATTGCCACGGTACAGCCATTATTGATATTCTTTTTATGATGAGGATATCTTTGTAAACACTGAAGTACTAGAGGATGGTAATGGTGGTGATGGTGTTAACTCTGGGGTCCTTCTTGAGTGATTATAACACTTAATGGTGATTTTAAGGTGGGTTTGCTCTTATTTATAGAAACGTATGCACTATATCACGATGGATGGCTTTACATCTCCAATTAGATTGGTTTATTACTTGGTTTCTCACTATTCGATGCCTACATGGCACCTTTGGGCACTCTGCTACATTTCGGCTTATCTTATCAGTGTTATGCTGACGACACCCAAATTTACATCCGGTTAGGCTTTAACTCTGCGATGCCAGTTTCTGCACTGTCTACAACATTAGAATTCGTTAAATCTTGGTTGCAGCAACATTTTATTTGAATAAATTCCAACACAATTATGGCCATATTGAATCCCCTCTGCAAATATCTAAAATTGGTTTGGCACTTTTGGCAATAGGTGATCACGATATCTGCCCATCACAGGTCAGCAATCTTGTTTTTCAGTTTGACCAGTCTCTGTCCTTTCATGCACATGTATCTAGGGTGATTAGAACCTCGTTGTTCCACCTTAGAAATACTACCCAGCCACGTCATTTCCTGACCCTATGACTTAAGAGAGACTGGTTCATGCGTTTGTGTTGGCCCGACTTGATGACTGCAACGCATTACTATTCGAGATTCCAAGTAAGGTAGACCCCACCTTGTTCAGAATGCAACTGAGTCCTTACGTGCACACCATTTCATGGGCACATCTCACCTGCTCTCTTGTCTTTGTATTGGCTACCATGCAAGTATCAAGTGGATTATAAAATCCTGCTGCTGACCGACAAGGCTCTCAACGGCTTAGCCCCACAATATTTGCAGGAACCAATCTATTTTTACACTCCAACGAGGTCCCTGAGATTTTTGAATTGCCTTATTCTAAATGCTCCTAGGTCAAGGCTTATTTCCTGGGGTGATCGGCTTTTGCCAGTGCAGCTCTCAGACTATGCTTGGACTTTGGTGAAAAGACAGAGTCGTTCGAGTTATTTAAGTCTGTCTTCAAAACCCACCTCTTTAAACTGGCCTTTACCCCTACAGTAGCTCTGGCCATTTATGCTAGTTTTGTTTATGTCCTTTCCATAATGTGACATTGGAATCTAAGGATTAAATGCGCCTTACAGATGTAACATTAATTATGATAACTATGGTGGCAATCAAGAGAATGTGTTGCATTAAATAACATGATAACCATTTAGATGATCGTCAATATAATGATGGTGGTTGTGATAGTATTTATTTAACAGCTGATATTATTTTCTAGATGAAGAAATCATAGGCTATGATGTAATTACAATGATGATGATATCTCAACAGGGATGCTATTACAATGATGACAAGATTGTATATGATTTTATTGCGTTGATGTTACAATGATGATGATATGCCAATGATCATGGAACATGGCAAACATGATCATGACATGTAATGGAATAGCTGACAATTCTCATTTGTGATATTGAATAACAGTGGTGGTGATGCTGGTTGCATATAGCCTGTAGCAATGTTAAGGAACAAAGTGACGAATTGCACCAACACAAGAAGCCGTTATGTGACAGGCACCAGTCACATTGCATGATCAGGCTGCTTTTCACATTACAGTGTTCGAGTGATGTGGGTCACGTGATGCCAGACAAATGACATTAGTCACGAGACGTAGGTCACATGACGGCCACGTAGAGTGGAGCGGATGGACTCCCAGCTGTTCCAACGGGGTCCCCAGCTCCCGATGGTGTGGATGAGGATGATACATTCGGGCCTTGAGGGGACTCGCACAGCTCTGGCCTAAACCACACAATTAGAATCATCAACAAATCATCATTAAATACCAGAATCATCATGCCATTCACATACGTAATTTGAATGTAATCTCATAAATAACATAATTTCTACTTCAACAGTACAGTGTTATTAGCATCAACAACATCAAGAATGATAACAAGTATTTAAAATATATATAATTCTCATCAGGCCCCATGGTGTAAAATGCAGTCCCCAACCCTGGTCATCCGCTCTATCTCTCTGGCATCTCTATGTGCCATAAAGGGCCATAGCCTGAAACGTCAGTATTATAGTTTTTCTTTTAACGCCATAGTGGTATTGACGAATGTGTTGAGTTTATTGCAAAATTTAGAATACTCATAAAATCAAATGCCAGGCACCCTTTCCAAATGACCTCACAGCAGTGGGTGCAGGGGACCAGGCTCTCACCGTGCGCACTGGGATCCAGCTTCCCCCGAGCTCCACCCCATGCCGTGGAGGGGAGTGGAACCACCCTGAGACACACATCATCACCAGGACCACCACCATCATCATTACAACATCCTCATCATAACTGACATTATCATCTTAATTATCATCATGACCACCATGAAGTGTACCTATTAAACCGTTCCCGTTCCGGTGACGTACGTGTACATAAGTTTTTCTTCCGATACCATTCCAATGACGTACGCGTACATCATCAAAACGAAACCATAAAAAACTAAAATAAAGTAACTTTATCGGTACCGAAGCTCCCACAAGGCCATGCAGGAGGGCGTGTAGTACAATTTGGCGCCAGGTATCATAGAGTGCGGTTGTGTAGATACAGTTCTCTGCAGTGAGAAGAATGTCTTTAAAAACAACGGCGCTACGCCTCTGTAAATACAATTATCGCTGAGCCGCTTGCGCGTTCCGACATTCAGAGGTGAAAGCGACTGACCCTGCGACTTGCAGACGTCTCGGAATGGAAAAGTGTTCACATCATCAAAAACTTGTTTGCTTAATTGCACATTAGGAAGTCCTCGACTTATTACATCAACTTCCGAACTCGCAATCGCGAACCCAATTGTGGGACTATTTTGTTCAGCCGAGTTATCCTCCACAATTTGTAACGAGTCAGCATCTGCTGGGAGTGTTTGTGTATGTGTATGTGCGGTAGCGTAGCGATTTAGCGCGCTGCTGCGCTGTGAACCTGGCGACCCGGGCTCGATTCCCGCTTATGGCCAACACCAGTGACGATTACCTGAACTGATCCTGGGCCTCCCCTTAGGTCGACTCGGCCTCAAATGAGTACCTGGTGCGGTGTGTAAACATCGCCACTGGGGAGACAGAGGCGGCTGGACGTGGTGCTGGCCACCCACCCCCTCGTTTGCCATGCCGGCCTTCATAGGTGCCCGCTAACAGCAGTTGCCCCACTATACAGTGGTCGTTATTGTGTGTCTGTGCGTACGCAAGAGCGCACCCGTGTATGTGTTCAATTGTGTGAATCATCACGCACCTTCCAACAAGCAAGCCTGCATCAGCACTCAAGGTATGTAAAAAATAAATATTTTTGCATCTCTATTTTGTTTTATATACTATACAGTATATTTACAGTGTTACATGCAAATGCACAATATTTATTTTTATTTATGAGTTTAACAATTCTCTTTTTTTTACCGTAACACATCTCATTGTTGTGTTGTGACTTATAAACCGTTCGACTTACGAACGCGTCCCAGGCATGGAACCCGTTCGTAAGTCGAGGACTGCCCGTATTTGTAAAATGGATATCGCACCTCCACTGGCCTCAATTTAATTGACTTGGAGATTACCATTAAATGAATATTCAGGTGTTGAGTAGCCAATCGATTCAGTGATAATCCACTCATCTGAAAAGATGATCAAATAATTAATGTTTAGAAGCAATATAAATAGTTCCTTTACTTTAACCAGGAAAGCCTCACTAAATCTCAGGGACTCTCTTTTCTGGAGGGTCCTGCAAATGGGATGAACTGAGAGAAAACTGGAGAAAACCATGAATCCGAGTGGATAACACTCAAAACTCCGCACAAATTATTCAATCCCACAAATTAACGTATTGTTCGTACACCGGTGCAGCGTAACATACAGGTCCTCAAATAACAGCCTGACTTTTGAATCAGTAAATCTGTTTATCAGTCTTTAATTGATTCTGTCGCCACGTGTGACGCGATTCGAAGGTTTATTCAGTCTCCTGAGACTTGCTAAAAAAGGTCAACATTGACTGTTGATTTGGGCCGACCAGGAGGGCGAGCACCTGGAGCAACAGCGTGCCTGATGAGCCTGAGGTGGGGCTGGAGCATCATCATCTTCATCGTCGTCTTGAACCGCAGATGGATAGTACGGCAAGTAGAGTGTTGGGATCATTAGGGTTATTGTGATGTCAACACTAAATTAGCCCAAAATATATATATATATCTTGTGAACAACCAAATGCTATTTAAGGACCAGGTTTTCCATTATAGGCAAAATTGTTCATGAAAGGTCAGTGCTCGTGTTTTTCTAACCCTAACCTAACCCAAACCGTTCCACCAAATAACACGGAGTCAATCGACAGCAGGCTTGGTGCTATACGGTAACAGACTGTGAAACTTTGTGTTCAGCTGCTCATAACATTCGTTTTTGGACTGCTTCGGCATCATGAGAGCTGATTTTGACGCACCCTTCAATATTTTCTCAACGGGGTTGTGAATCGTGGCAAAATAACTAAATAAATATTGCGATGTTTCTCTTTTTAATACCACACACCGGTGTACCGCCAATAATGTTCAAATACATTCAACCCACTTAATAACTGGCAGGTTTTTTAGAATTTTTATTTTTTGTGTTATCCAAAATTGTGCCATCAGTGTCACGAGGCAAAGAATCCATTGAGGAAGTCTCACGATGACTTCTCCCCAAAAAATATTTTAAGTGGCCTTTATCGCCACTTTCTCAAACATTATTTCCAGAGATTATGGAAATAATGTATTTCCATAAACAGTCAACTATATATCTGCTTTCTAGCACTTCTATAAAATCGTGAGGATTTACGTCAGCCAATCAGTCACGACCATCTTAAAATGTATTGTATGTAAATGTAAGAGAGAGTGCATGCATTGCACTCACCGTGCAAGGAGGGAAGTCAAAGGTCATGGTAAGGTCATCGAAATCCTGGGATGTCATGCACCCACCCACCTCCCCACCTTCAAAGCTACTCAATATAAAAACACGCATACATACACACACAAAGTTACAAATGAGGGAGTCTGACATCCACACACAAAGTTACCAATTGAGGGAGTCCGACATCCACACACAAAGTTACCAATTGAGAGAGTCCGACTTGTTAAAGTCACTAAACTTATAATTGATATTCTGTCGGAATGTTAACCCTAACTTTGGCCATGTGGATCACATGGGCAGTTTTGTGGTCTAGCAGTAGGACGATTTATTTACAGTTGATCTTTGCAGAGCATATCTTAATTTCTTGATGAATTTTTTATTTGATGTTCCAGTTTCATGACTTTAGCCAGCCTTCCTTTTCCAAGGTATAATCCTGCCGAGATGAAAATCCTTTCTTGTATCCCAGAGCAATCGGGGAGGGGGCAGGGGGAGGGTCCGCATTTGAAGATGAAGTCCTTAAGGACCTCCCCCCAATCCCTTGACAAGTGTCACATCCTCTTCAAAGTGTTGGGTGTCCAATCTTCACTTTCCATGGGTGAAAGCCGCCCAATACGGACAATACTGAAGTCTAAGTAACGCACAATTTAACCGGTTAAGATCCAAGATTTGAACTCGAAGGAGTCATGAAAAAAATATATTTCGGTATGGGAATCTCTCAGGTTCCTTGAGAAAGATGTATAGGCCTGAGGGAGATATGTATCAACTAACCTGTATTATTCCATCAATGAGAATAGTTGTGTATATATGGGTGTATTCTGTAGTCATTTTATATTATTTTGTGATAAAGGCCTGTGGCTGTGACCAATAGTCCAGCGAATTACCAAGGCAACGGGTTTGAGTTGTTCTACCATGATGCACATCTGACCATACTGTAGAGTAATGTGGCTTATTTGAAATGCCATTTAGGGTGTAATAATACGGGTAGTTTAGAGTTCTGGGGTGACAAGAGAGATCAGGACATTTTCCCAAACTCTTGTCCTGGCAATCAACCATAATAAACCTTTCCATGTTCACTAATCTTCGCCATTTATATACAAAGTCATTACAAGCTGCACGTGATTAATAGATGATAAGCACACACACACACAATTGGCGCCCTCTAAATGTTTAATCGGTTCTCTCTCCATGACATTGGGTGTGTTTAGCAATCATCAGGTGTGTGCATCATGAAACAACTCAATCTCAAGTTGAACAGAGTAGGCCTTGCAAACATGGTGGGTTCCTAGGAGTGGTGTCTGGGAAACCGTGGGTTTAGCATTAGAGGCTAGGAGTCATCTCACCAAGAGGCAGGGAGGTTGTCATAGTTGAACTCAAAGGATGTCTCCCCTAGATTAGAGTTGGGAGAAATTGGCAGGGAGAGGACAGAATCCCCGCCCAGGCTGGGCCGCACGCAGAGTGGAATGTAGTCTTTGCCCATCTGCACACACACGCACATACACGCAGACACAAATATTATCTTGTAGCCTTCATAGACTGTTGGTGCAAGTGCTGTCAGAAAGCACCTATCAAGGTCGACACAGCACACGTTGAGGTGGTGTGGATAGTACCATGGCTAGCCGGATTTGTTGCCCCAGTACTGATGTTTACAGCGCACCATATAAACATTTTTTAAGGCCAAGTCGATCAAGGGGATGAACAGAATCAATTCTAGATATCACTCGCCACGAGTGTTAGCCTTGGCCAGGAATCAAACTCCGTGGTTTTGTCTCACAATGTGCTAACTGCTGCATCACTGCTCTTTACAACAACACGTGTGCAAGCAACTACTTATTTAGGCGAGCATGCCACACAATTTCGTAATGTGGCCGGCTAAACACCTACCTTAGGCTCCTAATTGCTGATGTTACATGTTCATACCTCAGCTAGTGTCAATTCGTTCTGTCAAACCTAATCCTAACCTTAAGTTGATTAAAAAAAAACTTTTTTAAAATAAGCTAACAATTGTCAATTTATGGATGGTTCAGTTAATGTGCAATTTTCACAATTGCCATAATGTCAACAATCGATATTAGTGTCACCCTATTGTTCATTTGAGCAATGAGACACTGACATTAGACTGCCAGTGCGTTACCATATATCGGAGTGGTCTGTGCGTTTATTTGCTTTGTTTAGATGTGAAGGGATTCCATTGTGATGCGCTGCTCACTCGCTGCACCCGCGTCTGCAGGAGGTCACCCAGCGCTGTCACGAGGTCGGAGAAGCCCGGCCGTTCCCGTGGGTCCGCGCGCCAACAAGCTCGCATGATGTTATAGCTGTATCACCACCACCACCACAACATGAACACCAACATAACGATCCCATCAACATAGGTCAACATCCACACAAACATCACCCAACATGGGCTGTTCCTTTGTTTGTATTTAGAGCATGTATCCCGTCAAGCACGTTATTATATCTTCATCACCATCACCACCATAACATCAACAAGACTAAATTATAATCCATCACAACCAACCCATCAACATCAATAACATTCAACATCGCCTACCATTGGCTATTCCACTCGTTCCATTTTATGCCATGTAGGCACACATTATGTCATGGCTACAATACATCTCCACCTACACCATCACAACCCACGAGCACTATCACCATTAAAAATAACACCAGCATCAACATCACTCCAACTAACACCTGCCATGACCTCTGTTCACGTGCCACTTGCCAGAGTTGTTGGCTGTTCATGTGTGCACGTATATATTGATGTGCATATTCCACATATGTGTTTGCATTTGCATGCCATGTGTTTTCTAACATTTTCTAGTGTAGTGATTAAAATTTATTTACATTAGAAATTGACAAAACACACCCTGGATTAAAAAAAAATCCACTGCTGCACTGCTATCTGCTGGCCACCTCGCAGCCCAAGTCTATAACACCGGGAGTCCCAAGCAGGCTCAAAATCCTGCTTAGATCTGGTGCATTCAGGGTGATATGGTCATGATGTCGTTGGCCCTCTTCATGAAAAAAATAGTCTGTTGACTGAAACACCAATAATTATAGTCATGGTATGATTGTGGCTGGTTCGAATTGTGTTGGTGTGCGTGAGTGTATGTGTGTCTGTGCGCGTGTTCGTGTGTGTGCGTGAGTGTATGTGTGTCTGTGCGCGTGTTCGTGTGTGCGCGTGAGTGTATGTGTGTCTGTGCGTGTGTTCGTGTGTGGGGAGCGTTAGTGTAGCGGTTAGCGCGCTGCGCTATGAACCTGGCGACCTGGGTTCGATTCCCGCTCACGGCCAACACCAGTGACGATTATCTGAACCGGTCCTGGGCCTCCCCTAGGTCGACTCAGCCTCAAATGAGTACCTGGTGCGGTGGATAAAAAACATTGCCACTGGGGAGACAAAGGTGGTCGGGCGTGGTGCTGGTCACCCACCCCCTCGTGTACCGTTCCGGCCTTCATAGGTGCTCGCTAACAGCACTTGCCCCTACAGTTTGTTAAGGCTACACGGGGGATCTTTGTCTTTGTGAGAGTGTGAGTGTGTGCGCGTGCTCCTGCATACATGTCCTCATCAGCGTGCTCTGGAGCCCTCATCCTCGCCCCTTCCTTGAGTCGACGGCAGAACTCCTCATCAATCTGAATACCGGGGTATGGAGATGCTCCTGTGGACGAGAAGTAGTATGTATGTTCATTCATTCACTAATTCACTCATAGTGACACATTCACCCACTTATTAGCTTATACATGAAATTGTCAAGTCACATTAATTCATTCAAATGTATCCTGGACTGTCCAATGTCAGTGTTAAACTTGGTGAATGAAAACGATTTGTGTAGTTATACTAGCATATTTAGTATCATTAACAAATATTTTTACTCTTGTGGACTGGGACACAGATGCTCTGTGAGCAACTACAAGATAAGCGGTTTGTTTGTTGGGCTTCATCTTCGTTTAACTCTGTTAGGCTAACCCAATCAATGTTTCCTGCTCATTTATATCTTCACTATTTTTAACTTTGCTGATATACAGTATTCCCACGTTTATTCATTTAAATAACCCAAACACAGATTTAGCACTCGCTCACAAGCTCATTTAACCAGTTGAACTGCTTGGTCTACATATTAAATTGCTCATCATACTTTCAGTCTCACTTATTCACTCATGGCCATTATGAGCCCCATGAGTCCTAGGACTTAAACCTAGGTACTACAGCAAGGCAAATCTTTCATCCAGCAGTGGAAGGAAACAGCTGGTGATGAAGTGGACAAACGATACTTATGGTGGTGCTGATGGTGGTGAGGATAACACGAGACTCCTCACCAAGTGAGAAAATCTCCCAGCTGAGAATCCCAAAGGACCAGACGTCGCTCTGCACCGAGTAGATCTTATCGAAGATAGCTTCTGGGGACATCCACTTCAGCGGAAGTCGGGCCTTCACACACACACGTGCACACATCTTCAGTGTCTAACTCTTGTACTGCGTCTATAGATATGGCTTAATTTGTACATATATATATCAAGTTTAATTGTATTTTTTTGTTATGTAATTATTCCCAGAGAGATGCATTTAGTGTTTTCAGAATGGTCCTCCTGTGGGATATTTAAACAATTCATTTTTCCCCCAAGTTATATTCCGATTGCATTAGCAGCATGCTATCACAAGACGAATACATTTCCATTGAGAACTCTCGCAGCGAGCGGTGCACCACCTTGCGTCAGAGGAAATTCCAGAAAGCAGTCATCACGGAGCTACTTCTGAAGTCACTTCACTAGGCCTCTTTGTCCACACTAGGTCCGTAGCTCGTCTATTCTCTCCAAAGAGTGTTCATCACATGAAAATGTAATGCAAAACAATCGTATGTCGGTTTCCGCTTCTGTGATTATTCACTTTCTGAGACACTGTTATGGCACGATATCGCCCCCGCCTGGTATGCGAGAGGTTGTTGGTTCAATCCCGACCCTGATGCCTGTTTTTTTGGAGTTTGCATGTTCTCCCTGTGGTCATATAGATGTTTCTCCGATTCCTCCTGTTTTGCACTCTATATTTAGAAACATCCATTTCGAGGCTTTGGCTGCTACTATTAATTCTCACACGTGATAAGCCACTATGATGAGCTGTCATGTGTTGCCAGGTCGCCTCTGAAAAATAACTAATAACTTAGTGGGTTTTATCTGGTAAAAAAAACTATTTTTAGTTTAGAGGGTGAACGAAAAACTGTGCAGATTACAGAGTCTAACATTATATTACGACTGAGCTGGAACTTTGACTGTCCAGCGCAAAAATAGACGTACGTCTCCCTTGCGGACGTAATCAGGGTCCTTGCACACGTCCCTGGCGAGCCCGAAGTCGCAAATCTTCACCACACCATTATCGGCCAGCAGAACGTTCCGGGCTGCCAGGTCCCTGTGGATGCACTGAGCACATGGTACGGTACTTTGTTCAATGTATGTTTTATTCTCTCTTCCAAGCTTATTCAGTTATATCACCGTCGTGAGACGAGATGCAAACATGTCCACTTGCAACACTTGCTGGGTAATGCATCACCCGGTGTTAGAAATAACAGCCCATGGAAAGTGATATCACAAGTCGACTACTTGAATTCCTTCAAGTTATCTCTTCGTATCAACACACTAGAGGGCACACACTCCCACTGCTACAGAAATAAATGTTTATCACACCCTAGTAAAACTGATATTTGATTTAACATTTATTTTGACTGGTGCTGAGATGATCAACTCTTTACACTTAATAACACGGTTTCATCACGGGCAGCTGAAACCTGGACCTCAGCGCTGCCAGTTCAGAGCTCTGACCCCTCATCCATCTGGCTATCTCTCAGTAATTCCTAATACGTGTATTTAGGTTCAGCATCTTGAGTTTAGGTTCCAAAATTCAGTTCCAGATGACTATTTTCATTACAATTATCTGAATAACTGACTCACCAGACCACAATTAATGATCAGTGTCTATGAGATAGTATTTCAGAAGACTGCTGTTAAATATCTATCTCTTGAAACTTGGATCTGGGAGACCAAGTTTTAGAATCAGTGCTTCAAGACTTGATTGGACTGGATTAGGTTTCAAGGTCAGTGCCTAAAAAGTAAATGCTGCTCAGGGAGATTAAATTTCAGGACAATAGAAGACCGTTTAATCTCTGGTCAATAACTCCACAATAAATGGCAAAAACATCCAGAATTTCTATTTACCTTCCGTGATGTCAGGAACTCCATCCCTCGAGCCACCTGGAATGTGTACGCCAGGAGGTCTTCCATCGTCAGTGGCCTCACCTGCTCATCGTCTGAGTCTGGAAACACACATATGGCTCTTGTGAAAAGTTAGTCTGGCAGTTCTGACCGTTAAGATTGCTCACCACATAGCCACTTCTCATGAAGTCAAGGGTTTAAATCGCCATTACAGCCATCTGTTAATTTCCACATGGATGTCATTAATCCGAATGGGCCGGCCACGGTAACACGGACATTAGAGACCATTTGGCATCTTTCACAAGAGTGGGATATTGTGTGGAAATAGTCTAAACGCCATCTGTGCAAAGTCAGGGTAATGAACACCAACTTCTAGGAAGCCAATGCAAGTCGTTCTGCACAGAGACTTGCACCCGCCATAAGAATGTGGAAATTCCACCAATGCCTCAGGATCGTCAACGGAGACGAGCACTCAGCCACGCTCAGCAGAGCGTGGAGACATACGAGATTTGTTGACAACTTCTATCCCACACCCTTTTCGCATCCCACATCTCCCACCACACACACACACGCGCACACCTTCACCTTCAGCCTCCTCGTCCACATCGCACAGGCTCTTCTCTTCCACGAAACCGGAACTGGCTGAGCTTGCTGAGCTGGCGACACTGTGCAGCCGCTTCTTCTCTGCGTCGCCCGTGGGGCGGCCGAAGAGCGACGGCAAGTTCCGCGGATCAGGGCCACGCTCGCGCTTCCCCGTGCCACGCATCGCGTCGGGCACAGCACCTGCCATGGTGACGCGGCCACGGGAAGTTCCCTCTCCTCTCCACTCTGCCTGCTCCGATTCCTCCGATGAGGACCCGCACCGACCCTGGAGTCGCGACCAGGCCTCCACACCGCGCGGCTGGGGAGGAGACGAGCGCATCCCGTCGTCGGAGTCTGCAGCGATGGCAGCGGGGGGCAAATCCACATAGCCTCCCGTCTCCTCACAAATGATGGAGCAGGCGTTCTTGTCGTGCCGCCGGTCGTGTGCTGCTTCAGGTCGTGCCGCTTTGCCAGAATCGTGGAGCAGAGCGCGGGATTCCCAGTCGGACTTCTCACTGCCGTTCCGCTTCCCATGTTTTGTGCGCTTGGGGCCGGTGTCACTCTGCGCCACAAGAGATAAACAGAGGTCATCATTTTCAGTCGGCGAAAATATAACGATTCGTCGATTCTGTACGATTACAATGATTGTACCGAATCATGCATGTGAAAATCGCTCATTTAGAATATGTATAGATTTGTATGAATATGATATGCGAATTTTACATTTAAGCTGATTTCGTAAACAATACAAACCTAAACCACGTGCTGTTCCAATGCAACCCCCCCAATTTTACTTATGTGTTCATACCACATAGCCAGTGCAGTCCATCACTGATATAATATTAATTTAGTAATTGTTTATGCTTGGATTAAACCACATGCAGCATAGACACGTAAATATTAATCAATTCTATGAATTGTGACAATTCACAGTCAAAATATATTTCAAGAATAAACATTTTGTTGGTAATTTTTAACATTTAATTAACATTGCTTATCATTTTTACGTCTTATTTGTAATTCAAGTTGTCATTGGTTTGTGTATTTGCATTTGTGCTTGTGTTGGTTTATGTATTTATATTTGTGGTTGTGGTGGTTTCTGTATTTACATCTGTGCTTGTGTTGATTTTTGCGTATTTAAGTTTGTGCTTGTGATGATTAATGTATTTATGTTTGTCTCAAAGCTTTAATGGGTTTTTGAATGGGTTTTATTCAACAGGTTTAATGTGTTCAGGCTTACAGTTGTGTTGAAGTTATGTTTATTGTAGCATTTGTAATTACTACACCTGTATTTTGGTCTAATGTTAGAGTTACATTGAGGTGTTTTACGATTGCTTGCATTCATATGAAGAGTTCCCCTGGAGCTGCAGGGTTGTTTTTGTTTTTCGTTCTTGAGCTTGCGGCAAGGTTTGTGCTTCGTGATGTAGAAATGTCTCGTGATTTTTAAGTTTGTGTTTAGGGATCCGCTCGTGTGTTTGTGTTCGTGTCTAATTCAAATTGTGCGTTACGTTCATCTTTCGGGTTTGTGTTAAGGTGCAGTGATTTGTTCAACGCTGTGCTTCAGATCGTGTTTCCGGTCGCATTTATATTCACGTTCATGTTGTACATGAACATTTCTGATTTAAGGCTGTGATTCAAGGTCAGTGACTCAAAGTTGCCATTGATTATACAAAAATATATATTTAAAACTGTACATGGATGATGATTATGATGAATGTTCATTATTTTACCGTGATGCGCTTGATTGTCGTAAAGATATGTGATGCGATGTTCGCGATTAAACTGATGAGCTTCACGAGGGATATGTTGATGATAGTGATGATGACGGACACGTGGTAACGATGGTGATGGCGACAGTCATGAGTGTGTTCATCACCTGAAACGAGTCCCTTCTGCCACGCAAGTATTCGGACAGGTTTCCGTGGCGGCAGTACTCGACTATAACCATAAGAGGGCCTGTAACCACCAATATCATTGTCATCTCACATTTATAACCATAGACACATAATCAACAACATCAGCGATTATTTCACTAACCACAGTCGATGTTACCATTATTATTATCTTTCAAATATCTCCTACAAATATCATAACTATACTGCGTAAATTAATTGTATCATAATATTTGTTTCAATATATCTTACAATTCAGAATATATTTCAACGAGTAAGGCTCCCATTGAGCTAAGCAGCTCCGTTACAAGGACGACTACATTCACAGTACCGTCGGCAGTGGCGGCAGTTAGAGGACATTTGAGGGTGGAGGGAACGTATAAATTAACTATGTACATGCCAAAACGTAACCATGATAACAATACGCGATTAAAGTCATAAGCATATTCAACCTGTGCCCTGTGTTCATTATAAAGTAGACAGTAAAAACCTGGTGATGGCATTCGTGATATTGTAAGAACTACCTTCAATTGTCAAAATTATAAAACAGCCATAATTTAATAAAAGGAGATACGTTAAACGATATGAAAACGGATGATAATACCAAACAAGAGAGAGCATACACAGGACTATGTAAAACTACTTGGAAAATAATGGAATGAGACATCAGAGAACACAACACAGAAATGATTAAAGCTGCGTTCGCAAGCAGCTTCCAGCTAACCCTGAAACCTGAGTTCAAGACTTCTTTCAAGAGGGCCATTCATTGGCATGTTAATGTTAATCCAATATGTGTGGATATAATCCACACATACGAATGGGTAACAACTGAAATATCTGTGCAGATGGATATAAGAATCCACTGCCATCTCCCAACCACTTTGCCATCCGAGGATACAACACCTGGTACATCCAGGTGTTGTATTATGGTTCCCAGACCACCCGTCGCGTTTGCACGAAGCTGTGTTGGAGTCACCTCCTGGACGAGTACATGCTCCTAAGAGGTTGACCACATTGAGATGGTTTCCGATGTGGATGAGTATCTTGAGTTCAGTCATCAGGGCTTTGTGTTCACTTGCAGTTGCTCCACCTGCACACACCAGTGGCGACACACCCAGTAACTTTAGAAATCTGTTTTAGTCAGAGGCTCTACAAATTATAATTATTATTATTATTGAGGTGTATAACATTAGTCACTTGCGCCTCACTACTTCCATCCCAAAAAATGTCTGTGAAGTGTCACGAATTGAAGTCATGATTTTAATCGAGTGGATTCTTGTTCATCTCGTTTTACCATTCCATGTTTCTTCGTCCCATCTCGCCACCACCCGACACAGCCAATTAGTAAGGGTTGTCACGTAAACAGAACATGCCAATTCGTTACTAGTACAGCACACCGGTGTGTTGGAGAGCAGATTCACAACATGTTGGTGTCTATAATCGTAACCTCACAGACCTTTTAGCATCTTGACAGCCACAGTCGTGCAGGTGGAGGACTTGTCAATCCCAAACGCCGAGGCTTCCACCACTCGGCCAAAAGCTCCGTGTCCCAGTGTCTTCCCTGACATTCAATGCACACATGTACATGAAAAACCCACAAGACTTAGATATGCATATAGTCCATGAACCCAGACCAGATATTTAACTTGTCGGTACAACCTGAAGGTGGCATGACTTTCGTGGTTCAAATTTCTTGATGAGGCCAACAACATTGAATAATGTAATTACCCATTTTAAATGAGTGGGATTATCAAATACTCCATTCTGATTAGCCAAATAGATACATCAGTGCAACTAAAGTTCAGATATCTTAGGGGGTACCTGGTTATTCTCTGGTCCACGGGCTAATATAGATGATTGAGAGAGAGCTGAAATTGTTACACAAATGTTATCGAATATGCTTACAATTAGCAAACTCCAAAATATCTTAATTTTGAAATATGGGCCACACCAACATTTATTATTTTGGGGAAGATAACTGTAAAAACATGTCTATATGGAGCTAATAAAAAGCTTTTTTTGGCATTGCCAGAGCTGACTGATATGATTCGGTATGAGTATTCTAGATCTGGTGGTAAATTTGCAGACCAGTGGATTTAGAGTAAATGCACTATAATGCATTAAGTAATACAGTACATAAATAAACATAAATTATAATTTACAGGCATTTATTAATCCACTGCTAGATGATGGCCTCCTCATGCCATGTCGGTCCCTGGGGCTTGTTTGACCATACTTCACCATGTTGGTCAGTGCAAGATGGTGAGAGGAAAACACCCAGGAGGACGTCCACTGCAGAGATCGGTAGCAATTAAATCAGTTGATGTGCCGATGCTCGATAGATCGTTACAACAAAAGACCATGACATTGTGATGGCTTAAGAAGGGCTTCATCAGGCAGTGGATTAATCATAGCTGATGATGATGTGAGTTAAAACAGTTATCATGGAGTGAGAGCTGTTAGCGCGGTACTCTAGAATCCCAGATTCCTGGGTTCCATTCCCACCCATGACCATAGGTGGCACATTACATTTGAGCCATACCAGGGTCACCCCTAGATGGATACAGATGGAGTCGAGTGCCTAGTTAATGTTACTTTCCGTTGGAAGTATTCTTAAGACATACATTATTGCACGTTGTAATGTTTTTTTTTTCTTTAAACAAAACAACAATACAATTTCAAATTAAATTCAATTGACATTCAGATTAGAATGTATTCCAAAATGTTCGTTCAATTCCTAACCTAGACATAAAAATGTATAAAAATACACAATGTGCAGGCATAGTGATCAAGCTGATATCTTTAACTTGCTACAATTGCGAACTTGGCTTAATAATGGATGTTCATTTTGAATTCAAATCCAGTATCTTGGAGGTGTTTACATGACTATGACGATCTTCATGACAGAGAGAGGCCTGTGGTGTGTGCCACGTACCCATCTTGAGTCGGTCCCTCGGGAACTCCCACTTGCTGCCATCATAACTGAGACGCGCACTCTGCTTCCCCGGAGACATCTCCCCAGGGTCCATGATGATGGACAGATACCCAGCCTTCATGTCTGTACCACGGGCCTGCGCCACGTCACCGCCGACATCAGTATCAGTACGATCACCCACGGACACATCATTAGTACCATTACCCACGACATCAGCATCGGTATCATCGTCCACGGCCACATCATAAATACCATTATTCCTTCAGGTGATACATCCTGTCCAAACCCATTCACTTTTTTTACAGTTCGAATTACATATTTAACCTGCTGCATGCTCTCTATCCCAAGTGTTCCTCCATATTTTTCCTGAATCCAAGTATGCGTCTTCTCCATGCTCCCTAGCAGTACTTACCCCTATGGTCTATATGGCTACACGGTAACAGGGGGTGGGGGAGGGTCGCTGCGGAGTGGGGGGGATTGTTTCCTCCCTGTGAATACATCATGTGTGGCGCACCCTTCTCATCCTTCGGATGAAGACTGTGAGCAGCACCCAGAAGACCGCGGCCACCACTCCAGCGCAAACCAGCACCACGAGCTGCAGAGATGAGCGTTCCACCCCCCCTGTGCACACGCAGTAAGCGACTCTGTGATATAAAACCGCTATTCCATCCAAGCACCGGTAGGTGAAGGGCCACGGGGATCAGGAATTCAGAGCATTCCAGCCACTCATGATTCAACAAATTCTCGAGTGCAGCAAGCTGATGGTTTTTAGCCCAGTCACTATTAACTAGACAATCTATATAATTTTAATTAGTTTTTTTCAAATAATTTACCACAATCTAGCTCTAATCAGAAATGCAATGGACATTTATCTTTGGAACATGGTGTGTGGAAATGTGTTCTCTTTGCTGAATAAAAAAGGGCACTTGAAAGGACCTCAGAAGTGGTTCTGTGTTACCACCTTCGGTGCCCGCTGGAACTTCTAAACGGACACTTGGTCACATGACACGATGCCAAGAACGCAACTGGAATAACATTGGGAGAGTAGAGAACGTTTTGGAGTGCACCAGTAGGTGTTCCCTGACACTGATAAAAACTCAAGCCAGATTAGAGAGCAGGCATCATGCAGGCGTAGGCAGTTCCTATCCAAACAGCACGCAAAGGCGAGGGCTCTCAGGACCCCAAAGCAAGTGTTTACACTGCGCCCTGGGCATATAAACTCCAACCCACAGGCACTCGATGCATTGTCATGATTCAGGGTCAAGATAAAATAACTTTTTGTAACATTTTACGGTCTCATTTGTATTGGCTTATTTTTCCCTATCGCTTGAACAGTTTTATTCTCGTCATTAGCGAATAGAACTATCAATATGTAATTTACGTATACCACGCATAACATCATGCGTCATAATCCTTACTCGCACGCTCGTGCCGCATGTCTCGTGACCCTAAACAGCGATATCTACGCGGTGCGCCGTTTCGCGCGGGGTGACAACGCTCGCACGTTCATCGCACGCACGCGCCTACCCCAATGCCCCGTCCCCCACCCACCTTGGACACGCACGTAGGCGCTCGTGAGCGCTCGCCCGTGCGCGTTCTCTGCCACGCACGTGTACTCCCCTTCATCCTCGCTCGTCACCCTCTGCACCTCCAGCGTCCGGTTCAGGTCCGACAGCAGCACTCCTGTTAATTAGACGTGGCAGAGCTGTTGCGTCTCAACCCCGCAGACACGATCAGCATCTCCTTTGGGCCGTGTTCTTAGTCTCTGGCTCGGTCCTCTGTCCAACACTCAGGCTCAGCTCAGGCTGAAGCCGTTCAGCTGCTTCCAAAGACGCATGACTGAGGGGCTCAGTTATGGCTTGGCTCAGCTCTTGAAAATCCTGAGAACGCCAGGGACTTTGCCGAAGGAAGCCGACTCAAAGTAAAGTGCAGCTTTGAGCCGATTCTATTGAGCCAGAGCCAAACCTGAGCCAAGCCATAGAAATACCATCCTGAGCAATTGAGATAAAGACAACATGGTGAGATGTGCAATTAGACCGAGCAGCAGCAGCAGCAGCAGCGGCGGGAGGGTAGCGTTTACCTGAGTTGTGCGGGAGCGAACGTCTGTTTTGATACCAAGTGATGCGGGGGGCAGGGACCCCGTACACTTGGCAGTGGAGACGCAGGGTCCCGTTGGTGGCGCTCACCAGCACGTCCGACAGGTTCGACAGCACCATGGGCGCAGATGCCGCTGCCCGTGTCGAGGGGAGAGAGGCGTTCGTCAGCACAGATCGGCCTTTAGCTCTCTGCATATTCGTTCCTACAAAGTCAGCGGCATGTAAGATAGCTATGGGACCCTTTCGCCAGTATCCAGATATTGAGTGATAAGAAAGGTGTTAAAAAATGCAAATATTTGTTCGTGTTTTATACCACAGGTGTGTGTGTGGTGGTAGACGCCTGTATTTTCCCCAGAAATGGTAGAGCCTTTCTATCATTCACACTGCACGTGGGATGTTGGGACGTCACGAAGCACACCGGACATTGCAGCAGTATTATAGTCATTATTGAGCGTGTGCCCCCCCCCCCCCCACCTCTCACGATTCGTTAAAATGTCACAACTTAATTCAAGAATGGATTCTGTTCTAAAACATTGTTTTAATTGCCTACAGCTTACATTAATTGACAGCATAAAAGTATGGGTTTATTGGTGTGTGTATACACATGGACCATGGTAAGAGCAAGCCTGCGAGCCAAGAATAGTGGAAACTAATAGGTTCAATAAATGTAGCATATGACTTGGGATTGCAATTTCATTCAAGCATATAGTATTATTTTGTCTCATTATTATAATCTGATTATTATATCATACTATTTATCTTCTTTAAATCTCTTTTGTACATATTTGCCCTTTCCATTATCCTAAATGTCACGTCATCTACACAGAATTCGCTTAAATCGAGCAAAACGGTTTCAATAATGCATTGATTTCACACGTGCGTCGTGAGCGCGAGAACTGATGTGATCGACGAGTTGCCTCCTCACGTGCACCGCTCACCCGTGACGCTCAGCGCCACGTGGGCGCGCGCGTGCCGCACGGCCCCTCCCTGAGTGCGCGCCGCGCACACGTACACGCCCGCGTGCACGTGTGTTACGTTCACCAAGACCAGGCGGCGAACCGCCGTCGCGTTCCAGAACTCGGGGTCCAGCTGGAACCCGATGTCTTTAGGCAGTCCTTCATCCCTGTTTGCTTCTACCTCTTCTTCTTCTACATCGCCATCATGATGATGATCATCATCATATTCTTCATCCTCATCGTAATCACTGTCATCAACTCCATCACCATTATCACCGCCACCACCACCATCATCATCATTGTCAACATCACCTCCACCATTATCTCTGTTGTCTTGCAAATCGCCTAAAAAATTTTGTCTTGACGGGCCCGTTTCTAGATCATGGTAATGTAAAGGCTTTTGTCGAAGATCACTGGCAAGTCCATTATTTTCTCGGTGTTGTCCTGAGTCTGCATTCCCCTCCTGTTGCCAGTGATTGTTGCCAATATTGTCACCATCACCTTTGTTCTCATCTCTATCGTCATCCTCGCTGCTTGCAGCATCAACATCAGTGTCATCAATGGTCATGTCAGCTTGAGTGCCGGAGACATCGAACTCTGAAGAGCTTGGAGGTCTCGTCATCCCCAGCGAAGTGACATCACTTCTAAGCGAAACGCTATCATGCTCAGAATTGCTAATGCTACTGTCTGCAGCCTCCCGTCTCAGTCGCTTTCCTAGCCGTACAGAATCTTCACTGGCAGAAACGAGACTTAAATGTTTTGCACCTCTTCGCGCAACTTCCATAATTCTAGTCTTTGCAACTCCAATCGGACGAAATCTTTGGATTTTTTTGGAATTGGGACCACATCTGTCATGACTGACATTCTGTCTTCCTTTCAGCCTCGGTAGGATAAACTTTCCCTGTGGGAACCCTCCACGTTCGATCTTTGCATCCATTCCCCCAATAAACTCCTCATCGCTATGATCTACCTCTTCACCTTCAACACCATCATCTCCACCACCACCGTGGTAATGATCATCAACTTCGTACTTTACTGCGCTCCTGCCACGAACGTTGCTTGTGTTTCTCTTGTGTCTGTCTCTGCTGCTTTTCCTACCATGAAAACTCTCTTTTCTGCTGCTTCTGCTCCTACTGCTGCTCCGAGTAGTGCCATCATTACTTCTGTTGCTTCTTTGACTGCTGCTGCTGCGAGCACTTCCTCTGGCAATGCTTCTGCTGCTTCTCCTCCTGCTTCGACAGCCAACGTCGGTTGAAGAGATGGCACCGCCTTCTGGCGGTCGGAGACTGTTGGCTTCAGTTCGGTTGGAGCCTCCACCGGCTACCAACCCTCCCGTCGGACCTACGACTCTACTACTGCGCCGCCGCCGCCGCCGAACTGAGGATGCGTGGTCATCGATGACAGCCGCCGCGGTCTCGGCCTCGCGTAAAAAAAGCAGCTTTGAGCCCCTACGTGCACCTCCATCTACTGCTGCCAGCCTCTCCGTTGTAGCAGGCGAGGCCTCTGTAAGGCTCGTGCGGGAACTTCTGCCTTTGACCGCGGTCTTTGCCGGTCCAGAGCCCACATTCTTCTGTTTTCCATGCAGAGCAGACAGCAATGGTGATGATGGTGAGGGTAGTGATGATGATTTGGATATTGATGATGCCCGCCGTGAAGACTTTGAAGATTTTGACGGTTTTGCTGATGAGGGCGATTTTGATGATTTCGATTTTGAACGTTTCAATGCTGCCGATGGTCGTGGTTGCGATGATGAAGTGGACTTGGACGATTTAGGGGAGGCAGTGCTATTGTGATGGGCGTGGAGGACTTTTTTCTTCCATGACGGAGTCAGGAAGGCGAATCGGTTGACAGAGCAGCGCAAAGTTATGGTGTCTCCCTCCTCCACCGTACGCTCACGTGGCCCGACTGAGAAGCCGTCAGGGATGTCTGAGAGGGATGAGAAGCAGACACGCGTACAGGCAGCAGCAGCATCATCATCAATATTCTTTACTTTACTCGGTCAGAGGTGGCTGCATCAGTCGTAATTTCCATGTCAGAAAATCCAACCAGCCCTGCTGTGTTCCTGGATCTAAAATAAGATGACTGCCCATGATTAAACCAAACCACAACTTGAAAAACAAAACAGAATTCTCACCTTGTCGACCCAAAGAGCGTCACGGGTTTTTTTTAAACTGAATTTTAAGCTTTATTTATGAGAACAAATACTTTAAAGTGACGGTCAAGCACATCATTATGACAATCTATTCAAGTCACCATTACTTTACTCCCATATGTTCAATATGGCACTGCGGTTGCAATAATGCAGAGCGACGTTGGAGTACTTTTCCACAGCTGTAGATGCATTTTCTCGTTGAGGACGTTTGACTCCTGTGTCAGACAGCCCCGGATGATAATAACAATTATAATTTGATACGTAGCTTAGATGTACAGGAATAATACACATTTAATTATTGAAGTTAAATTTTCCATTAAAGTAGGTTTCTGCTTGTGGGGAGCTTGGAAGTCTTAGTCGATGACAGCCGAAAAACATCATGAAGTTTAGTTTTTGCTTGGTACAGCCTTGCACAGATCTGAGGCCTATGTTGGATGATCCCCTTGCAGCAGAAAATCTTTGCGGAGCATGAAAGAGACCCTTCAAGTACTGGGTATGAGAGGCCCACTGAAATGACTCTCAAGAAGTTGTGCAGCATCAGCTCGTGACAACATTCCCTGACATGATGCAATGTTCTGTTGCCTGAGGTTGTTCTGTAAGAACATGTGATCACCGCTCGATCGCATGGCTTCAACTGATGTCACTGCCCGCATCTAAACCCAGGATCTCGGCGATGTTGGCCCAGCGCTCAGGCCGAGCGATTCTCAAATGTCATCTCTTGCTTTACATTATATATCAATTGTTGACTTTTTTGTAATGAAAAAAATGGCTTCAGTTCCAAATGTTTTAACATACCCACTTTACAGATACCCTAACGGAAAAGTATAATTGTGCGCGGTGGGAAGTTGACGGAGCGATGGAGACAGGAGGAAAACGGGAGGAAGAGAGAGAGGTGAGAGAGACACAAACGCTCACCTGTAACGAAGAAGTCCTTAACGTGGGCAACTCTGCCGACCTTGTTACGAGCCTCACAGCGGTACCGCCCAGACACCAAGGCTCGGGAGATGAGAAGCGTACTCACCGTCTGTACCCAAAGCGAACCCGCAGACCAGGCTGATCATATGAATAGGAAAATGCCATTGTGTCATAAAGACACGAGGACAATTTTGGGGGCAATCATTTCCAATAATCATTACTGCTAATAGTTGCTGCACAATTTTTTATTGGTAAAAAAATTTAGTATCCCAAATTTGGATAAATATGATCGCTCCTCCCCTGAGTGGGTATTATGCATGTATGTTGGAATTTATTTCGCACCCTACATGGCCAACCGAGCTAATCAGAGGTGCAGGTCAATGGGATGGCAACTTGCAATGAGATGACAGACAGGATAAACACTACTCCCCAAGTCTGTATGCTTTGTAGACGAATCATTGTTCCCAAAAACACACTAAAAAAAACATTGGCAATGCTGGTGAAGATGCCTGGCAAATTTTTCCATAACATGTCCACAGCTTTAACTCATACACATACAGTATAGACCCACAATTACACACGTTCACATACAAAACTCACATTTCACGCCTTTTTGCGTGTTGTTTGAGACACACAAAGATAAAGATCTCCCATTTAGCCTTAACACACTGTTGGGGCAAGTGCTGTTAACGAGCACTTATGAAGGCCGGCACGGCACACAAGGGGGTGGGTGTCCAACACCATGCCTTGCCGCCTTTGTCTCCTCAGTGGCGATATTTACTACACACCGCACCAGGTACTCATTTGAGGCTGAGTCGACCTAGGGGAGGCCCAAAATCAGTTCAGATAATCATCACTGGTGTTGGCCATGAGCGGGAATCGAAAGCGGATTACAGGGGTTCATAGTGCAGCGCGCTAACCGTTGCACTACCGCTCACACACGCATGCACACTGGCAATGACCGAAGAGTAACCTAAGATACTGTTGGTGCAAGTGCAGTGTGTGAACGACATTAAAGGCAATTTTTTTCTTTCTCACACAGATTTGCTTGGACAAAAAAGATCACGTGCTCTGTCTCAAGTAGGCCAATAACAATTCTACCACCAAGCGATTCAATGAATTGTAACGATTCAGTTCAAATAATTCCTTATTTTCGTCCAATTTTTACCATCTCGCTTGGACTGTTTTCTATATTTTCTGTCTTGTTTTCGACAGTTATTATTCACGCCATTAGCGTGTACAAATAGTTAATAATATATTTGTATTTTGCTAATCATTGTTTTATTTGTATGATTCTCTCTCCCTCTTTGTCTCCATATATGTTCTTCGCTGTTGTTTCCTTAAGAAACTAATTAGCATTTTCTGTATCTCCCACTTGATACATGTCTTCCTTAAATTAGCTATTGTATGTAAGTACCGTTATTGTACTATAGAAAGCATGGATCAAATGGGAATATGAAATTCATATCAATGAAATGAGCATCGCACAATTGCTCTGTTAACCGGACAGGTTGGTGGCTGTGCTCGATTTAAAATGTCTGTCAATACTTCCTCTCGATACTCCTCCTGTCTTACTTCTATTTTTCTCTGATCAGATTTTCTGTCCTCACTACCCCTCCTCTTTTTTCCTCTCTTATTTATTTACTCTTTTTGCCCCTCTCTATATCCCTCCCTGCCCTGACTTTCACTTCTCTCTCACTCCCCCCTCCCTTCCCCTCCCTCTCTCAAAACGGTTTCCCATCATGCCTTGTTCTTTCCCTGCAGGATGATGCTGCTTGTCGTGATGCTGGCGATGGGATTATGGGACGGGGACACCTCCTTGGACACTACCACATTCTGCCACGCCTTTGGACTGGTGTGGCACACGTGCTGCCTGCAACAAGAGAGACATCCTGAGACAACCCAAAGGGAAAGAAATCTTCATATATACCACATGTCCAATATATACCAGAGACAAAATACACATACGCCATTCAATCCATAATGGAGGCACTTGAACTGTAACAGAGGCATTAACATTCGAGGAAACAGAGTCACTCTTACATCCCCCATGGAGACACGGACATGTTAACATCTCAGAGAGGCAAAAATATCGTAAGGCACCATTCCAACATTAAAACAAAACTGCGACATAATTACTCTGAATGTGCCCCATCATTCCAGATCCTGGAATCTAAGCAGATTGAGCTTGGTTAGTATGGGAGACTGACTGGGAATACCAGATGTGTGTAGGTTTGGGCTGCAAGGTGGCTAAGAGATTGCAGTACCTGACTGTACAGTAATATATTTTTGAATCTGTGTTAAGCTTTAAGTGGTATACACTCTTTTGCACGGGTTTTCTCCAGGTACTCTGGTTGCTTTCCACATACAAATCACTCATTCGTGGAATAAATACGCTCAGTGAGTCTTTTTCTGGGTAAATACTGTAAAGTACATCACTACTTTCATTGTAACTCACAATCACAAAGTCCAAATCTGGGACATAGCCCAAGGACTAATACCCAGTGAGACATGGACTCCATTGCAACCTTGATTTGGTTTATAATGCCGACCTCAAACACCTAGAGCCAATCTGCTGTCGACATTACGACCATAATCATAATCCTAACCACCTTTGCCCTAATCCAGTGCTCATCCCAAATTACTCTGGAGGCAAATTCCGATTTACCTCCACAGAGAATCGATGGCTTGTCACTATACGGGGTCACAATTTGATTTGAGAAGTTTGTATAAATGTTAAATTTAGCATACAATCTGCATATAGTTTTCATAAGCAATATGTAATTTATTCTTACACATATGATTTGATCCTGTATCATACTCGTTCAAATTAATTATAATCGATCAATTGTTGCATAACTATTTGACAATACTGCGACCACCGCTGTTTATATATCAACAGGAAGCCCTCCCATTAATCAAGCATGGGCACTGCCCACCTGAATAAATTCTGCCTCTTGTTTAATGCATTATCACCGCAAAATTGCGTGCCAAGTGACTGAGGGCAAGTCGGATGGAGTTTAGAAAAGTGATGTAAACATGCAGGGAAACTACTATCAACTCCCGTCTGTCACGTTTTTACCATCATAGAACCTCCATCGGCAAACACAGAAATACAAATTGCGAGGGACATTGTGAGAAACCCCAACATGTCTCACTCCAGGCCAGTTTCTTCTCACATCCGTCCGCGGCCCACAATGTGACTGCATAGACAGATACTGTACTCAATCTGTGATTTACAAGATCGCCGGTCGAAATCTATGTCTATGGAATTTTTTTGCGAGAAAAGGCATAACCTGCTTATTTATAAACACAAAAAATACGTCTCATTTCTCCACCGGTTTTGTACGAAATTGCAATTTGCACGGGGTCCTCATCCAGTTAAATAAAGGACATTGATTGACTGAATGTTTGACTGCAGGCGCCACGCTATGGGCACCGACCCCTTCTGGAGATTACGTCCGCGACGGAGAAAATCGCGTCGTGTAGGAGTGGAGTGCACGGAGGTGAGCGAGGGAAGGAGACGTGTCCGGTTAACGAGACACGGAGGGGATGCGAGTGGAAGGGCTACGCGCCCTCCGGCTCATTACCATGACATTCAGCTTCCGTTTGATGCGGCAAATGCGTATAACAAACGCAAGCACGCACGCACGCACTCGCGTGTACAAACAAGACAAGGGAATTGAGCATGCGTATGTTTGTGAGCAAGGGAGTGGCGGCAAATTGATTAGTGCACCGTGCATGGTCAACGTCAACAGTATGTACTGTTGACGTTGACCTGTACTGGGCCTCACCTAGATCGATTCTGCCTTAAAATTACCGTGTAAACTTCAGCAGTTGGGGTGAGTGGGTGCGTTTCTCATGACTGCCGATGCGCACTTTGACGTTGTGTGTAATGAAAGGCACTCGTGTTGAGGATGACGACGATGTAAACAGTGTTCATAAGCACGGGTGACTATGCTGATGTGTGAGTGTATATGTGGGTAACTGCAGGGGATCTATCAAGGCTGGCATGGCATATAAGGTGGTGGTGGTGTGTCTGCAGTACGATGTCTGGCCACCTTAGTCTCTCACCCACTGCACGCCCTCAATATGCACGAGAGCCTTGTGACTACTTTGTCTTTGTTTCCGAGCGTGTGGGCGTGCATGTGGGAAGCACAGGTGGCCCATTTGCCAGCCATTTCAGTCAGTCAACCCACAACACCTGGGCACGTCCCGTGACTTCCTGCCAGCAGCCAGCCTGACTCACATCACGCGACCTCAAGGTGCACCTAGCCTGGCACAGGCACTGTGGTGGCATCACCGAACGGCAGTTGTTGATGTGTGCATGGACGTGTGTGAATACGCACTGCTATGGGGTGTGTGTGTGTATATATACACACTTCTCCGTGTGTGTGTGTATATATACACACTTCTCCGTGTGTGTGTGTATACGCACTGCTCCGATGGTTGGCAGGGCTGCCACGACCATGTGATGTCCGGAGCCGGGGTCGCATACACAGTGCACCTGAGCGACTGCATGTGACCCATCGCGTGCACGTGGTGCGCTTTCGGGGACAGGGCCTCCTGTATACTGGGGGGCACTGCGAAGACAAAGAATAGACGTCATCAGACTGCTGTTAGGGACAAGTGCTGTGAGCGAGCACCTATGAAGACTGAGACGGCACACGACGGGGTCGGGAGCCAGCGCCACATCTGATTACCTCCCCAGTGCTGAGGTTTACAAACCGCGCAAGGTATCCATTTAAGTCGTGAGCGGGAATCAAACTCGGGTTGCCGGGTCCATAGTGCAGTGCGTTAGCCACTGCGCCACCACTCCCCCACACACAAGACAAAGATCCCTCCCGTGCAGCAGCAGCAGCAGCAACAATAATGTTGTTAGGGCAAGTGCCGTTCGAGAGCACTTAAAGTGGTCGGCACGACGCACACAAAGTGGCGGTTTGACCAGTGCCAAGCACGATCACTTGCATTTCTCATTGCAGTGCACTAACATCTGCACCGCTTGAAAACCTGAAGTATATAGGTTTTTTCTTCTTTGGTTCTTTCGGTAAAGTCATGAAGGCTACTTGTGTTGTGGCCGAAACGTCGTGAGAATTGTATTGTCTTATTTTATTTTATTATTCTCATTCTACGTGACTTTACCGAAAGAACCAAAGAAGATGAATCCTTGCAGTCACGAAAGCTTTAAATCGAAATTTATATAGGTTTTCATTAGACCTCTTTTTCCAGTAGGTTTTTTTTTATTGTAGCATTGTTTTCAGTTACTTCATGTTTAATGCACACGGGTTTTCTGTGATTTGGGATTGTTTCCATGTAGGATGTTTTCATATAGCATCGAAACACAACTGGGATCTAGATGTGTGCTGTGTTACTTTACGGCCCAGAAATGAGACATTTTAATCTCAACAGGTATTTACTTTGTTTAAATAAAGTATCGCTGCTGATGATGACGATGAAAGAGGTTTTACGATGTCAAGCACGCAGGCGCGGACACTCGCACGCTCTCTCACCATTGACGATGAGGCTGAAGGGGAGCGTCTCTCTCAGGGCACCTCTTGCCATCTCCACCGTCACCGTGTACTTGCCAGTATCGGCCTCCGTGACCTCGGCAATCGTGAGCGAGAGATTGCCACGACCCAGGATTGTTCGCCAGAGGGCCCAGCCTTCCCGATGCCTGCGGGAGCGTGACAGCCGCGCCACGCCGTCCCAATTACCGTACTTGCTACGCAGGCTGTTGGCGAGCTTTTGGATTCAAGAAATAGCCTTATCATGATCTTTCCAAGTGCACAGACAGATATATATAGCCTTATCATGATCTTTCCAAGTGCACAGACAGATATATATAGCCTTATCATGATCTTTCCAAGTGCACAGACAGATATATATAGCCTTATCATGATCTTTCCAAGTGCACAGACAGATATATGTCTGTTTAATAATTTTATTCCTACCATGATCCATAATGCTGCACATCAGCAGCACGAGATAATATTGCTCCTGCACCACGGCCTTGTCTTGGAGGTGCAGTGCTCGTACCAATTTCGTCTGGTAGTCTGACAGTGTGAGACTGAGAAGATCCAAGGTGGTGCAAAATGATTGCCTTAGCCAATTACAATGAATAATCAGAATCTTTATTCTGGAGGGATCCGATGAGGGACACAATCCGAAAAACGATAGGAGTGCAAAGAAGAGAAAAGGTAAACAAGTCACTTAAAATAAATAAATATAAAGCATATAAGTGCAAATTGCATGAGAGAATACATCCCTGCCGATTTTTCAACACTAAATGCAAGCTTGGGCAATGCAACATAACAACAACAACAACACCAGTCTCAGGCCACACCAAGACAACACACAGTCTTTCAAAGTAACAAATCACATTTGCAAATGTGATTATATCCAGCACTAATCTTCTGCTTCAGAAGCTTTACGATGTTCAGGGAGGAAACAAGGTTTTTCCAAAACTTTGGTGCTGCAATGGCAAAGGCTTTGTCACCTATTCTTTGGTTCTTTCGGTAAAGTCACGTAGATAGAACAATAATAATAAAAAGAAAGTGAATACAATTTTTTTAAATAAAAATAATACAAACAAAGAAACCACAGACGTAGACTGTAGCCTGGTTCTTAATCGGAGTGAGTGTACTGGTAATCTACAATGTGGACTGTAACCTGGTTATTAAGTTTGGTGAGTGTACTGGCAATCTACAATGTGGACTGTAACCTGGTTATTAAGTTTGGTGAGTGTACTGGCAATCTACAATGTGGACTGTAACCTGGTTATTAAGTTTGGTGAGTGTACTGGCAATCTACAATGTGGACTGTAACCTGGTTATTAAGTTTGGTGAGTGTACTGGCAGTCTATAATGGAGACTGTAACCTGGTTATTAAGCTGGTGAGTGTACTGACAGTCTATAATGTAGACTGTAGCAATGGTTATTAAGCTGGATGAGTGTACTTGAAGTCTATAATGTAGACTGTAGCCTGGTTATTAAGTTTGGTGAGTGTACTGACAATCTATAATGTAGACTGTAGCCTGGTTATTAAGTTTGGTGAGTGTACTGGCAGTCTATAATGTAGACTGTAGCCTGGTTATTAAGCTGGGTGAGTGTACTGGCAGTCTATAATGTAGACTGTAGCCTGGTTATTAAGCTGGGTGAGTGTACTGGCAGTTTATAATGTAGACTGTAGCCTGGTTATTAACCTGAGTGAGTGTACTGGAAGTCTATAATGGAGACTATAGCAATGGTTATTAAGCTGGGTGAGTGTACTGGCAGTCTATAATGGAGACTATAGCAATGGTTATTAAGCTGGGTGAGTGTACTGGCAGTCTATAATGTAGACTGTAGCCTGGTTATTAAGCTGGGTGAGTGTACTGACAGTCTATAATGTAGACTATAGCCTGGTTATTAACCTGAGTGAGTGTACTGACAGTCTATAATGTAGACTGTGGCCTGGTTATTAAGCTGAGTGAGTGTACTGGCAGTCTATAATGGAGACTATAGCAATGGTTATTAAACTGGGTGAGTGTACTAACAGTCTATAATGTAGACTGTAGCCTGGTTGTTAAGCTGGTTGAGTGTACTGGAAGTCTATAATGTAGACTGTAGCCTGGTTATTAACCTGAGTGAGTGTACTGGCAGTCTATAATGTAGACTGTAGCCTGGTTATTAACCTGAGTGAGTGTACTAACAGTCTATAATGTAGACTGTAGCCTGGTTATTAAGCTGGTGAGTGTACTGGCAGTCTATAATGTAGACTGTAGCCTGGTTGTTAACCTGAGTGAGTGTACTGACAGTCTATAATGTAGACTGTAGCAATGGTTATTAAGCTGGTGAGTGTACTGGCAGTCTATAATGGAGACTATAGCAATGGTTATTAAGCTGGGTGAGTGTACTGGCAGTCTATAATGTAGACTGTAGCCTGGTTATTAAGCTAAGTGAGTGTACTGACAGTCTATAATGTAGACTGTAGCCTGGTTATTAAGCTGGTGAGAGTACTGGCAGTCTATAATGTAGACTGTAGCCTGGTTATTAACCTGAGTGAGTGTACTAACAGTCTATAATGTAGACTGTAGCCTGGTTATTAACCTGAGTGAGTGTACTAACTGTCTATAATGTAGATTGTAGCCTGGTTATTAAGCTGGGTGAGTGTACTGGCAGTCTATAATGTAGACTGTAGGTTATTAACCTGAGTGAGTGTACTAACAGTCTATAATGTAGACTGTAGCCTGGTTATTAAGCTGGTTGAGTGTACTGGAAGTCTATAATGGAGACTATAGCAATGGTTATTAAGCTGGGTGAGTGTACTGGCAGTCTATAATGTAGACTGTAGCCTGGTTATTAAGCTAAGTGAGTGTACTGACAGTCTATAATGTAGACTGTAGCCTGGTTATTAAGCTGGTGAGTGTACTGGCAGTCTATAATGTAGACTATAGCAATGGTTATTAAGCTGGGTGAGTGTACTAGCAGTCTATAATGTAGACTGTAGCCTGGTTATTAAGTTTGGTGAGTGTACTGGCAGTCTTAATGGTAACTATAGCAATGTTTATTTAGCTGGGTGAGTGTTCTGGCAGTCTGTAATGGAGACTTATTCTAAGTCCCAAGACTATTTCTCCGGAGGGTCCTACCCTGGGATGTTCGGCCAGTTTGTTTTAAGGAGATTTTTGCATGCGGTGAGGAAGTAAAAAAACGCCATGCTTAGACGGGGATAACACTAAAAGATCCACAGGCACAAATCCCACACTTCCTGTACTACCATACGAGGTATGGATGTATGTTTAACTTTTTTCGCACTATATATAGCCAACCGTGCTAATTGGAGGTGTGGGGGAAGGACAACAAACTAAACGCAAAGAGCATTTCTAAAGAAATTAGTTTTCAATCTATATTTAAAAGTGCATCGCTCCAGTGGCTTCCTAATATCGGAAGGAAGAGCGTTCCAAATGGCTGCAGAAGGACATCTGAAAGCACGCGATGCAGTGACTGAGGTGTTGAATCAAATGATGTTCATGGTCCGGTTCGGGATAACCAAATACCAATTCAAATGGTTCGAAGCTATCTCAAATGGTTTGCGCGTGCGTGCGTACGTGTGTGTGCGTGCGTGCATCAATGCGTTCGCGCAGTTCCGCACCAGATGATGCGCACAGGAGGGTAGGCTCGGACGTGAATGGACATGCGGGGACTGTTCCTGCCCAGCCGAGTTTCCAAGTGTGGACTTCCCTTGTATGACACGTTCAAGAACGGCGCTTCTGCAATTACGGACAGCGAGAGCGCACGCTAAAAAAAAGCTAAAACATCCTTTTTAGAGCGATGCAGACAATCACGGTGGGGGGGGGGGGGGTTACAGACAAATGTAGGCACTGTAGGGAAAATGACACACAGGTGTGCTGATGAGAGGTCATGATTCAGGCCTTGTCTAGTTGAGTGGATGGATAGCAATGGCCAAAATGAGACCAACATGCACCTGTCATCACAGCCACCCCACAACTTTAATGCCTCCAATCGTCTTTCACAATAATATTCTAAGGCATCGTAAAAAAACACATTAAGCTGCTTGGCACAACATTCTCATCCGATCTGTTATGAAATGGCTGTGTTACTAATCTGGATAAAAAGGCATTGGAGTAGCTCGTTTTTTTTTCCCATGCCAAAGGCTCTGTAACTCGCGCTGGGAAACTCGAAGTAAGCGATGTTGTGGCAAGAGTCAATCTAGAGGAGGCCCAGAACCGGTTCAGATAATCGTCACTGGTATTAGTGGCCGTGAGCAGGAATCAAACTCGGTCGCCGGGTTCATAGCGCAGTGCACTAACCACTGCACTACCGCTCCCAACACTAACAAAGACAAAGATCCCCCATATAGCCTTTAGCAGACTGTTGGGACAAGTGCTGTCACCTTCACGCACACACGTACCATACACAACCACATTCTTGCTCTTCTCAAAGTAATTGTCGCCACTGTCCGCACTGCACACGTACTCCCCTGCATCCTCCATCTGCACGTTCTGCAGGGTGAGTGTCGCCACGAAGCGGAAATCCTGGTACACCGTCTCCATCATCTGCTGTGTGACCACCTCGCGGTTCACCTGCCCCGCGCGACCAACACACTCCTCAATCGCACTCTCCGATCGCGCCACCCATTCACGCCCCTCAAATGAGCTCCTCAGCCAGTGTAGTGGTAGTCGTGGTGACACACGCTTAAGCCACAGTTCGACTGTGGCCATGCAACCCAAACTGTGGACTACATAGTAAACCACTGTATTATGAATAATATTATGAATAATATTGGTCGCGAAAGCCTACGTGTTAAACTAAACCACTGTAGTCGGCGCTCCTTCAACGAATGCGGAATACTAAAACTACACAAACTCTCTCTCTCCTGAAGCCTTTTTCCCAGTTAGCAGCCCTCGACGCTCCTGAACATATTCCCATCATATGCAAGAATAGTATAGAATAATTATCCGGGAAAATGAAAGTCTTTAAAATGTCTTAGAGGTTTAGACCATGTTAGTCGGGGGTAAGGCCTCTTCTGATTTGCCCTCACTCGACATCTAATAATCGTGATATTTGTGCCATTCCAATACCACGAAACCATCACGAAAGTGCTATGTTTCACAAATGGGTATAGTTCGCCAGTATGGGCATGATCATGCTGTGGTTTTACGCAATTAAATAATTTGCGAGAAATGTGTTCTTTAAATGTTTTTTTTTAATTGTGAAAATTCGTGATCGTTTGTGAAAATTCGCAATAATTTGTTTTTCCGGTCGTGTGTGCATATATTCCTACCGGGCGGCGAGGGTAGTCCCAGCTGAATGCCACTCTCACGTTGGGCTCCGTTATGACCTCACAAGTGATGGTCAGATTCTCACCGACAGCCCGCTCACCACCACCCTCCACCGACACGCGTATGGACAACATGTCCCCTGCACCGCACACAACATCGTCAACGGCGGTCATTTATTAACGAGTGGTGGCAAAACATCTCTAGAAATCTGTGTCAGGTGTGCTTTGCTTCAAGGGGTAGTGGAGCAGTGAAGGCTCGCTCAGGGTAAGGTCACATAGCAGACTGATTTTGCGATCTCCAGTGACTATGGCTCGCGATTCGATGAAATAATCTATTATTGCACAACACCACTAGATGCTGAAGGGGTGACATGAACAACATACGGATCGGAAAATGTTGATCGCTAGACACAGGATTTAATACATAAGCTGAAAATTTGATGTGATGAGATTAAGAATTGACTAATCAATGCACCTTACACCGCTAGCAGCTTCCCTGCTTCTTGTTGCTGGAGGCCAGTTGCCGAAATATTCCCATTTGCACCGTTCAAGGGTCTCCGACACAGGGTCTAACTCTGACATTACTGATCCAGGTCCTTCCGATGCGAATAAATTAACTCCTCCAGCCCATGCTACACCTATGCGGCTGAACAACATTTGCATCGGCTACACGTGTAGGAGTTATTAGGCGAACACGCAGGGTTTAGGAATTGTTTCACTACCGTGGACCAAGCACATGCTAATCATATTCTGTAATAGACCAACGAATTTCAGTTACAGTACCATTGCACCTGACCTCTGTAGACTATGAAAAACATGCAACTCAGTAAAAATGTATCCAGTCACCCAAGGTCTCATAAACTAAAACCTAATTTTTTTTAATTTAGAATTAATAAAATCAATTTACAAACATGCAACATGCACACTAAGGTAACGTTAAGAGAGGACCAACATATGCATATATACATAAATAGGGGAGTCAGACAAAGTCAGATCACGTCCTTTAACAAAAAAAAACTAATGACCAATTTGGGAAGAGATTGTTGTTGTTTATATTTGCTGCATTGCCTCATCCTCGCGTTATTTTGGGTTCTTGAATCATAATGGTAGCACGATCATGATTGTGGTTACATGACTATTGAGACTATTTGAGATAAGTGTTGTAGAGAATTCGTACGGACACACACACACACTCAGAGGCAGCATGTTGGCACGCACCCACGAGCTGTAGGAGCACCATCCCCGACAGATGGGTTTGCCCTGCACGCGTTGCCACACACTTGAAGTTGAGGGAGAGACCTGAGTGGTTCCGGATCTCGAACCCACGACCCCGGTCCAGACGCACATTAGTCCCGTCGACAGGGAGTACTCTGTCTGGGAAGAGCTGTGAGATTTTGAAACCCGAGTGAGGCGAGGAGTTATACGCATGAGTGGGTGTCTTGGACTTATTTGTAACAAAAATAAAAAGATGCACTGTTGTGGAACATTATGGTAAAGTCACGTAAAAGTATGGATCCTTGCAGACACGAAAGCTTCAAATCTAGAACATTATAGTAAATAAAATAGTTTTTTTGTAAAGACTGCTGTTCATAAATTAACGTAAACATGTATATGTTTTAGTTCATCAGGCTGTGAGCATTGCATATGCAAGTCACAGTGCGATTGTGGTCATGCAACTGAAACTATGGACAATATAGTAAACCACTGTAGCCTGTGCCCCGTCAATGAAGGAATAGCACAACTACACGAAGTCTCTCTCCTTAAGCCTTCTCATGGCTATCAGCCCTCAACATTGGCATGTAGGAAGTACAAAATGATAAAACAGCATTTGTTTAAGCACCAAACGCTGGATAGGTTTCAACCTTCTGGATCTTATCAGCAGTCACAGTTTTGAAATAAATACTGCTGGGTTGCCAGATGTTATTGGCAAGCAAACTTCAAATACACAATGGGACCAATTCAGAGGTGGCAGGGTAACTCAGTGGTAAGAACACTGAGCCAGTCAGCATTCAGATCATGGGTTCGAATCCAAATTTCAGCCACCTGTGACTAAAAAACAAAGCTCTCAAGTGGAGTGAGTCGATGGTCTCAAAACAGCCACCACTAAACCCATGATTAAAAAAACCCTTTATATTCCATTTAGGGTTTGACTTATTTTGGCTATGTACAAAATCTGATTTTTTAAAAGTAGGTTTGACTGCTATGTAGGCAGCGTTTCTCTATAACAGTGCATGTGGGAAATGGCTTCCTTATTGTGTGCACAACAAAGGGTTATTGAAGGGATCATAAAGAGATATCTCAGACATTGCTTCTGTGGAACCATTCTCCAAAAGGGCGATGCACTGCTCTGTGAGCATTCCAAACGGATTCTTTGTCTCAAGACGTGACGTCGACAGCACATATGGAATACGTTTGGAAATATAATGGAAAGAATTTTAAGAACAAATATGACTATTGTGTCATATACTATCCTCTGCCATAGGAATGTGGAATTTCCCACATGAACTCATTGCCAAAACAGACGTGTGCGCATCCCATGTTTATTGGTGCAGGGAGACATTGCCTTTTGTTTGAAACTCGTATGTATGCAAGCATACGTGTACTACTCTGCTTTTTGGTTCTAGCGCATGTATATGTATGCGTGCGTAAATACGCGTCACGTCACCTCCATTAGCGTAAGCTCTGAGTCGGGTTGAGTTGCACGGCACGGGATGAGCGCCGATTGGTCCTTGCGCGCATATACGATTGTGATGTCATTATCAGGGAGCACTTGTCGAATTGGATCTACATCAACATCGACAAAATCATCAACAACCTTAATATGAACATGAAAAACCATTCATAATACAACATTCAACATCACCATCAACATGATCAAGATTCAAACTCTCAAACAGCCCCGTCAATGCCAATGTTAACACCCTCACTAAAGACCCAATAATATGAACCCTCACTATTAACGCAGTTAACAGGACCACCGTCACCGGGAAGATCACCACCGTTAACGACACTCGACATCAATCCTCCCCCAGCCACCAACGTTATCCACATCGACACCATCAACATCAGCACCATTCACCAACATAACCACCGTCAAGGTCATTATCATCACAGACATCAACCAATAATATTATTATCAATAACAACACTATCACAACACCACTATCAACACAATAAAAAATATTACCACTATCGCTAATGTAGCTAATTTCAACATTAACAACACAAATAACATCATTGCAATATCAATTCCATCGGCATAACTGGAAAGTTATGGGATTAATGATCACAATTCAAGGTTGCAATTCTGTAAGAAAATTCATGATTTCGTCTCGTTTTTACCATCTCATTTGTATTGCTTCTCTCTTTAATTTATCTCAGTTGTGCAAGTTGTGTTCACTCAAAGAGGCTAAGTGTAACAGAAAATAATTTACATTTCAACTGGATAAAGTGGAATCGATTCTCATGCACACAATTTAATGCGTTATATCATGAAGTTAAGAATCTAATTTAATCTGTGAATCAATCCAACGTTACGTGCCTATTAATTTGCTTCTTGATAAATAACGTGACCGCCACTACGTACAAGAACAGGAGCTCCCCCCCCCCTCTACATTGTAAACCATTCCTGCTTGCGGAGCCAGATGGGAACTACATCGCCTGATATACAGGAGGTCGCGGGTTCAATCCTGATCCTGACGTTTGTATTTTTGGAGTTTGCATGTTCACCCCGTTGTCACGTGAATTTTTTTTCGGTTTTCCCCTCGACATTTAGAAACATGCGTTTAGAGTATTTGGCTGCTATAAATTTCCGCATGATGAGCCACTTCGTTGAGCTATCATCTGTGGCAAGATCGCTTCTGAAAAGATCTGTATAGTTCAGTGAGCCTTACCTGTAAAAATGAAATAAAAGTTTTCAAAAACCTGGTCACGTTCAACTAAAAAAAAATCCCAGCCATATATGTCACGGAATACCACAGAATTTCCTCCCATTGTGTTCAATAATATTATTCTCAGCCAAGTAAAACCATTAATCTGCTTCCCAAAACAATCTCACCTGACCTGTCGTGAATTGGTTATTTTAAACTAAACTGTAAAACTATAAATTAATGAATAGATTAGTTTAATACTCTACCTAAGGAGACATTGAAGACGATTGGCTTTATTTTCCGTGCTAGAGTCTCTGTAACTCTGTACAATTATGACTATGCCATTACAAATCACAAATTAGGTCGAATTTGGAATCATGCTGTGATATCTGAGGTGGACCACTTCGTTCCTACCTCTCTGCGCCTGATAGAATTCAAAATAAAGCAGTCAAGGTGAACGATGACCCAGAACTTACCAATCCACTCTAATCATTTCGATTTAAAGCTTTCGTGACTGCAAGGATTTATCTCCTTTGGTTCTTTCGGTAAAGTTACGTGACTTTACCGAAAGAACCAAAGAAGACCACTCTAATCACTTTCTGGGCACTGCTGACCTGCGTAAAAGCAAAACCCTTTTGTCTTATAATATAGCCCAAATGACACACTCACAAGCAACATGAACATAATCCGTTTACAATTCACCATCATCAGGAGCACTGTCCACAGGAATGTCGGTAACGTACCTGCTACGTACACATGCACTTTCGCCGCCCTGTGTTTACGAGTTTCTCTCCCATGCTGCACGCAGGTGTAAGAGCCCGTGTCCTCGACTCTTGCGGATGGGATGAGCAGCGCCATGCAGCGTGTGAACCCACGCGGGCACGACCCTGACCGCGATCTCGACGCGGCCACATCTGAACTTGCATTTTGACCCGAGCCAAGTGGGCCCGACCACGCGAGGAAACCGCGGCCACTGCACGAGAAACACGCCCCCCCCCCCCCCCACTTCTCTAGTTAGCAAGTTCGAGCTCTGTCTGGAAATGTGTCTCTCTATGACTGCATTGATGAGCTTACATTGTTGGCCTTGTTTTTTAATAGACAAGTAGTTTGCCCTATCATATCATGGCATCTTAAATAATAATAGAATAACTCAATTGGGATTAGAGCAAATCATTGCCCCGTCTACTGGCAGACTAATGTCCCAGGTCACTCTTGCAAATGAGACTCATCCTGGTCTGTTAAGTTCTCACGTGATTAACCAAAATTAACTCAAACGTCAGTGGTAAAAGACTACTGGCTTCTTTAGATGCATGTGTGTGTAGCACATGTGCGCACTTTTCACACCTGCACATGATTTCAATCTTCTTGCCGACCTCCGTAACGTACACATCTGAGGGTAAATCAATCACTGGGCTCTTTTGTTGACGGGAATGGGCACCGACTGTGAAAAACACACACACAAGGAATACATTTATAATTTGGTACGCGCATATCCCGATAAGCATGTAACGTTGGGCCATTGTTGGCATGTGGTTAGAACTGTCGGACCAAAGCTGGTGGCCCAATGCTGCACGTTTACTGGGACATTCCTTAAATTTCCTGCTAGAATGACATATCCACTTCAGCCATTTTTGCAGTACAGTCAAACCTCTGGAAGCTCAACTCATTGGAGTGATGGCTTTCCAGTTTCGGGAAAAGTCCGGCCAACTGAAAAAAACCTCAAGTAATCATATTTATTTAAGCAACATTGCGATTGTGGCCATGCAACCCAAACTATGGACTATATAGTTAACCAATGTATCCAGCGCTCCTTAAATTGATGAGGAACAGCAAAACTACACGAACGCACTGCTAAAGCCTTCTCACTGTAGCTGGCAGACGTTGAGTGGCATTTAGCACCTGAACATATTGCCGGCATACACAAGAAGAGAATCACATTTACATGTAAGACATTTACCGTAATTAACAAACTAAATAATAACAACTTCATCATCATGAGCCATGGTCAATCCACTGCTGGATGAAAGCCTTCCCCAACCCAAGACCAGCTCTCATGATCCTGCGATGTAATAAACCACCCAGCACCTAATTATCACTCCATCTCCTTGGTGGACGTTCTTTTTGATGCATACAATGCCGTGTCAACCAGTTATTATTTCAGCACCTAATTATCACTCCATCTCCTTGGTGGACGTAATTTTTGATGCATACCATGCCTTGTCAACCAGTTATTATAATTATTCTTTTACCGTCTGCCATCATCATTTTGGGCCAAGTGTTCTGCCTAAACACAATATTTGTAAAATGTCATGAAGATGTCATTAACCTGCATTATGTTCTCGAAACCAGTGTAATTCCAAGGACGTGTCTGTCCATGCTGCTTTGCGCACTTTTCACTTTGTATTCCATATTTTTCATTAATTGCCGTGTTTCTGAACCGCGTGTCATAATTGCAGGTAGTACACTGCAATGATACTTTCTCTTCTTTAAGAACAATGGTATGTTACTTCATCATCATCGACAACAATTTGCTTCTAATCCACCCCTTTACTTAACCATTTTTGATTTCGGCCTACCTTCAATAGCTGGCCAAGTTGTGCACATATTCTGCTACGTTTTCCAGTTGTCTCGTGTGCACAACCATACGTGCATGTGTGTGTGTGTGCATGTTTACACGTGGACGTGTAAACATGCACACGTGTTTACGACGTTTGTACTCTAACCCAAGTGGAGAGCGGTAGCGCAGTGGCTCTTGGCGCACGATGCTAGGAACCCCGGCGACCCGAGTTCGATTTCCGCTCACAGCCAACATCGGTTACAAATATCTAAACCTGTCATGGGTCTCCCCTAGGTTGGCTCAGCCTTAAATGAGTACCACTTTTTCGGTGTGGTGTAAATATCAGCACGGGGGGAGGGGGGGCGCCAAAGGCGATCGGTCATTGGTGCTGACCACCTACCCACCCCCTCGTGTGCCGGATCAGTGTTCATATCGGTGCTTGCCAACAACAGCACTTGCCCCCCCCCCCAAGAGTCTGTTAAAGGCTATACGGGGGACCTTTGTCTTTGTTGTACGTGCGCGTGCTCACGCGAGCACGCGTGTGAGCGGCCCGAGACAGGATATCCTCCTCATCGGGGCTCCCTTCCTTCCCATGCAGACCCCCCCCCCCCCCCCCCTGCGTTCTTCTCGCAGCCATTGTGTGCGCGGAACTTGAAATGTAAAGCGAGTCAGAGAGGAGTCTCTAACCCCCCCTTATCTCGACCCACAAACCCCCGCTGTGCCGTTCACTATCCTTTACATAACCAAGGTGACCAAGAGCCCACGGACATCCACGAGCTCTTTTCAATGACCTGGCATTTGAGAGGCGTCTTCGTTTGGCTGATGTTGATATAGAACAAGAATTTTACATTGAAGTGATTGAGCCAAATGATGGCGTCAGGAGTGGCGGGGTTTCTATTATTGCGTATGGCGGCGAAATGTTCGGGAGCTAAATGTCAATGTCGAGGTATGCTAGCAACTACAAGAGGGCCTTGAGGAGAGAGTTGGTGTAGTTTTTCTGTTCCTTTGTTGAGGGAGCGCAGACTACAGTGGTTTCCTCTACGAGTCTACGTGTTGTATACGGCTGTGATGATGCCTCCATATCTATCTCTCTCTCTCTGAGTCTATGGGTCTCAGTATGCATTTAATGATGTCGCTGAGTCGAAGAGTAGTTGTGAGTCCATGGGTCTCATTGTAAATCTATTGATCTGTCTTCTTCGTGTGGCTGATGTTGACGTAGTTCTGAGCCAGACAATTGGGTCAAGAGTATTGGAGTGGTGTATCGCTGTGATGACGCCTTCATATTTGCGAATTGTTCCACGGTTCTGTTCTGCCGGGTGACCACAGTTGTCACACACCGCAGGGGTTTAATTGTTCAATTTGTCTAGAGCAATGGGGGGGGGGAGGTATTTGTTCCAGGGATTTAATGTGTGACCCCTTTGTTCTTGTCTTGTTTTAAAACATAGTTTTACAGTCACGTGATGATTCATTGACTAAAATGTATTCCTACGGGCGTGTATTAGTTTCAAGATGTATGTAAATAATACTTGTACAAATAAGAGAACAAAATGCCAATGGAAATGAGATGACCTTTAAAAAATGTAAATTTTCCAATTTTATGACTACAACTCTTAACAATTCATGGAATCTCTGGAGGGAAGGTTTAAGGTTAGTGGGGAAGGGTAGGGGAAGAGGGGGGGGGGGGGTGAATCAATACATGCCTAGAAACCACATTTGTCATGAACACTGTGGCCTGAAAATAAAATAAATTATTATAGACAACATTTCAGACAATGGCACATACATACCGAGCAGTTGTTTGAAGAAATGTGTATCCTAAATTATTTTCTTCTGTTTAAACACCACTGTAAGCTTTTTTATGTTTCAAACACATGGAGATAAATACTACTCAAATCATGAAATACGATAATTGGGAGAGAGGTCCCTACTACATTGGTCAGAGCTCTATAAGTTCAGCAAGCATAACCCATCAAATTAAGGCCATACCTCCGTATTTTTTTAATCGCTGAGATTTTTTTGTATATACTACGAGGATTTCCACTCCTGTGCTGCTCTAAACCCCTTTGTGAGCCTGCCAAGGTGCATGAATCAGAAACACAGAAATTGACAAAGAAAATGGAACAACAGCAGCCAAGTGCGCAGATAAGCGTGGAGACGAGCATGCTTGTAACGCATGAATCAGGGAACCTATGAAATATTTTATTCTCTGTTGATAAAAGTAAATGGGGTTGGGCACGTCATGCTGCTAGAAGAAATGGCGGCCAAAGTTTGAGACCGACGACTGAATGGCAGCCAAAGGCAGGAACCCAAGAGCACATCCACTGCAGAGGATGAGCGATTCAATAAGACCACGTGTAGGGTCTAGATTTGACGTTTTCGTGACTGCAAGGATCCATACTCTTTGGTTCTTTCGGTAAATTCACGTAGGCAGCTGAGGGAGGCCTTCATCTATCAATGGATAGAGTTTGGTTCTCTTGGCTCCGAGGTTAAACTGTGATTCATTTATTATTTACAAGTAGGGGTGTAACAATGCATTGATCAATAGATTAATATATATTCTTACGCTCATGACACACATACCGAATCGCTTTAAGGGTCTATTTTTTTCTATGTACACTCATTGTTTCACATGACCCCTGAAGCCACAAATGAGCACTTATCACAATGTAGAAAGAAAATTATCTTTGAACAGAATAGCGTCCCTGAATCGATCAAGTGATCAAAACGGCTTTGATGGCTTGTGGGGAAAAGTATTATTCCATGAGCCCAGATCAGATATTTCACTTGTCGGTACCACCTGAGGGTAACATAACTTTAGTGGTTCCAATCGCTTTATGTGACCAATAACGGTGAATTACGTGAAACCATTTTAAATGAGTTGGTTATCATATATTCCACTCTTATTGGCCATATAAATAAATCGGTACGACTAAAGCTTTGCTATCTTAGGTGGAACCAATTTTTGCTCTGGCCTATATGAATTATGCCAACCACGGTTTATGAACATGTCTGCCATTTTTCCCTGTTTTTGTAAAAGCCTAGAACGGTGCCAGTCAGAGGCAGTGGTTGACAGTCGCTTACAACATTTTATAGGATGAATAAACGAGCACCCGACTCTTTGGGTACGCCTGTTTATGTCCTTGCACGATTAACACTTAATGAGCAGATGAAGGTTACACAATGGCTGGCAAGAGAAGCGCTTATCCTCCCTAGACCAATAACAAGCCCAATTAGAATGCGGAAGGATGTATGGTCTTGCACCATAACCCCAGATTTAGAAGAGGCTTCAAAACATCGGGGAACATCAATGCAAGGTTAGGAGACGCAGGCTCCTGTCTAAATTTTTTTTATATTCTACTGGAACCACCCAAACAATCTCGAGGGACTTGGGGGACATTAGACCACTTTGATTTGGGGCTCGAACGGAACCAGAAGTTGTGTCTTGAGCCATGCCCTGAAAGCTCCACAGTTTCTTAATAGTCAGTCAAAGACACCATTCCAGAAGTCCGGCCTCTTTGAGACTCAAAAAGATGGTCCAGAGACCCTGTGCCCTTGAGTTTAGTCCCAACATGGTGATGATGGATCATTGACAGTACAACTACAGTTTTGATGCACTGAATCATTTTAGGGCGTGGCATAGATTTTTAATTAACTGTGTGCATATGGATGCAGACCCAAAAATCTGTCTTTGCTGATATGCCTGTTGTTTATAAAATGTCTGTAAAATCAGATACGTTATTTCAACAAGGTACCTGTTGAGACTAAAAGTCTCGTTTTTAAAAGGGAGACCTGGTTATTAAAAACAGAGCAATGTATCATTAATCATGTGGCCAAACAACAGCAAAAAGGATCAGAATTATAAACAATTACATAGCCGTAAGAAAAATCTGCTGCTAAACTTTTAACTTTGTCCCATAAACGAGATAGCCACATGACCCCAATCATCTTCCTTGGTTGCGATGTTTACTACCTCGCCTGGTATAGAGAAAGGCTTTGGTTCAATCCCCACCCTGACGCCTGTATATTTGGAGTTTACATGTTCTCTCCGTGGTCACGTAGATTTTTCTCCAGATCCTCCGGTTTCTCCCTCCACATTTAGAAACATGCGTTTCGGGTATTTCGCTGCTATATATTTCCAAATGATAAGCCACTTCGTTGAGCTATCATTTGTGGCCAGGTCGCTTCTGAAAATAGCTATATAGCTCAGTGAGCCTTACCTGATAAGATAAAATAAAACATATTTTTACAAATAGTTTCTAGTTTAATCCAGTCCCCCAACTGTTTCCCAATCCAGAATCCATTTCAAGATCAAACTCACCGTAATATTATCACATGAAGTCACCCCTACCTACCTCTGCCCTCTCACCTCACTCTACTCCCCTGCATGAACTCTCTGCTCCAGTAATCAAGGCTGCATTTACTTTGAAATGGAAAAATATATATTTATACGATTACTTTTTTTATCGACACAGAACACTCGTTTCGTCCAATCCAATATAGAACGATTAAGCTGATACAGAAACCTTGTGTTATCCGATACAGAACGTGTCAGTATTGATTCGACAGAACCCTTATGCCATCCAATACAGAACTTGTCAGTATTGATCCGACAGAACCGTTGTGTTATCGAATACAGAACTTGTTAGTATTGATCCGACAGAACCATTGTGTTATCAAATACAGAACTTGTCAGTATTGATCCGACAGAACCCCTGTGTTATCGAATACAGAACTTGTCAGTATTGATCCGACAGCATTACGTAGAGATAGAGAACGCTACTATTCAAACCTTGGGTCAATTGTGCTCGTTCATATAGGTACAGTGTAACAATATTACTCATAAACCTGAAGGGAATACATGCTTCCAGAATGTTACTGTTAATAAAAATGTACCCATATTATATACAATATTCTCATTTATATTTAAGATCGTGCTGAAGCCATCAAGGCGCATCTTTCACATTTACACGGGTGGTTACCTGGGGAGTAATACAGGGATCAGTAAATAAATCAAAGCATAATTTAATTGTACCATTCCAGTGGGATAAGATTATCTATTAACTGAATATCCAGTGTCTCCCTGCTCCAATGAGTCTGTCTGACGGAGTGTTTATCTCAATTAGTGGTCCTGACCAAGTTATGGAAATTCCACATTCTCATGGCGTGGTCGGTCAGCAATCAATGTTCAACTGAAACGTTTGCTCACAACCCCCCATGACCGACACGGTATAGAAACACTTTCACCCCGCAATGGCTTAACAAAGGGCCGACGCGTATTTTATTTTATGCTGACTTAGCTTATCCAGAAAAAAAGTCTTGTCGAGTCTCAAGACTGTATTAATGGACACATACATTAATAATAATATGATATATTTATTGATGTATTCATTTGTGACCAGGAAAGAGCCCATTGGCACTCGAAGAATGCGCAAGGTACGACTCCAGATGGCTGTTATAGACAGATGCAACAATCCATTGCCATACTGTCCAGTGTGATCACAAATATGAGTTTTAATCCCGGTCAGGGGCCGCTGACTCAGCCATCATGCCTCCGTGTGGTCGATAAAATTAGTACTGCTTTGTTTCGAGTCAAAAGTGACGTTTTATATGGATTCACCACCGCTTTAGTAATGCGAAATGTCCATAACTGTGAAACATGAGCGCCGCCCCCACGCATTTGAAAGCGACAACATGAACCATTTATTGGATTATCCTCATCATTATAATTATTATCATGTCAACTTGTAACGTGCCACACAGAATTTGCTCGCTCTCAAATAGAGATAATGACTCAGAGGCGCGAGGGACTCCAAATAAGTGGGAAGGCAGCAGCCAGGCGGTGAACCGGCTTACAACAATTGCTGAAGCTCTGCGGTCCTGATATATTAAGATGTTTTCAGCCAATTAATGAGTGTTTACATATCAATTACTGCGCCGTTGTGATCATAAATGATGCCCCACGTACACAGCGATCGATCTACTCACGTGTGCAGACGCAGGTGAAGAGTGCGACCGCAAGGAACATAACGGTCATCTCTCCAGTGACCGCACGCCGAATGCCGCAAGCCCCCAGTGTATATGAAAGCGGATCCACTCTTTATTAACATACACTGATTGCAATTATACACACAGCCTTGCCCTACATAGCCAATGGAGCATTGGAATTATAGACAGATAATACACAGGTGTCGGTCTTGCAGGTGTTTAAAAAATATGCGAATACCGTACAATAACTTATAATATGCACTATATATGCAAAATGTTGTACTAACTTGTATAGTTGTGTGTGTAATTATGTGCCGTCAGATCTGTAAATTGCGCATATAAGCTTCTATGATGGCAAGCGATGTTATATCCTTGACAGTTATATTATTTTGTATACGTGTTCGTGTCGTAGTGTGTAAACGTACAACAGAACTATGAACAAGACGTATTCTTGAGTAAGTCTGTTAAGGTATATAATAGTTCAATAAACACTACACGCGTGTGTACGTATCTCTATGTGAAGATAGGATTATTGTTACCAAGTCGCCTCTGCATGAGTTCCATTAAAATTAGCCATACTAGTTTATTAACAATCTTTCACCTACACGTTCACGCTTGTCCCTGTCTCTCTAAGTATGTTTTGCTGTCGTATATGCGTGTGTATCTCTGCATCTCCCTATGCAAACGTTCCCTTTCTTTGTCTTCTATATTCTTCGATCTATGTTTTGGTTTTTTTCTACATGGCGTGCCTCTTGAATGCGTAATGGTGTCTCTATTATATCTCTGTCTCTCTGCGTCCCTCTCCCCTGGTCATTCACTCGTGTGTCCCTCTATCTCCTTAACCAAATCTTCCGCAACCCCTCTGTATGTGTGTTTGATATCCACGGCACCTCGCCTCGTGGGTGTTTGTGTGTGAGAGATATGTGGGAACCCGCACGCATACACACGCACGCACGCCCGCTATCCCTGTATAAATGAGCCGAGGAAACGTGACGCGTTTCCCCGTGTTCCTGTGTCCCGTGCACACGCCCGGGCACCTCACCCACTCAGCACACCACGACTCACAATCCCACGCAGCGAGGCGACTCGTCACAATGCCGACCGAGTCACGATTCGCATCAGTTGGTTAAAGTCATCACCGACTCTGCTGATGAAACATTTCACGTCGAAACAGACCATTCACTTCGACAGTTTCGTCCTAGTGAGCCAATGCAGCTGACAAAGTAATCACTCCCACAATGTTTTGTGGCCGGTGGGATGTGTAAAAGAATACTTACATATTTTATGGCGAGATACAAATACGTGACGGAGGTGTATTGTCTGCTTATTTACTTTATTAATAAAGGGGGTTTACGTCTCGTTTTAACTGCCTTGTCTATAGCGTCCTGCTAGTATATATGTTATCCCATTTCTATGGCATGTCTCGTTTATGCTAGCTTTTTGGTATTGTTTCACTCGTACATCCTGTCTCCTTGCGTATTCGTCTATTTAGGCCCAGATTCGCTTTGAATTACCATATAAGTTGCATAGATCGTAAATCGTCGATTTTGACGGATCCACTATTCGACATAATTGCACCTTGGGGTTATCGCGATAAGGAGATAGTATTACTACTGTGATAAATAGTGCAGTATAAGGTACAGGGTAACACGATATCGTTGTATCGTGACTATCGTTGCTCTTTAGTTTTCTTAAATATTTAACTTCCAAAATGTTTACGAATTAACAGAAAAGTTAATTTCACAATAGCAATGAAAGCTATTTACAAACTACATTTAATGAGCTTCTTCTTCTTTCATATGGTTGATGTAGAGTAACAACTACAATTTCATATTCAGGTGGTCAAGCCAGATAACCGAGTCAGTAGTAGCGGAGTGTAACGCTGTGATGTCTCCTTCCTATTTGTGGATCAGGTAAAGCGTCATTATACGTTGTATTGTCTGTTCTGAATGACCTCAGTCGTACACTAGAGAGTTTTACATTTTATATTTGTGCATCAGGTATCGGCATATGCCATGGTTTGTGCGGATGTGGTTTAGGGTGGACCATGAGCTTCGTGGGAAATGAAACCCAGGGATTTTCTGTGTTGGGTCTTTCACAATATACTTGTTTGTGAGTTTATTTGAACTCCATTAAGCTCTCCAAGCTTCATCGGGGGTTGAACTCGTATTATTTAAGGTTAAGCTCATGGTTCCAAAAAGGCTTGCGTGACTGAAAGTGATCAGAAGGGTCGCAGCGGATGGGTGGGGGAGAGATGTGTGACAGCACGGGCAGCCAGGGTGTTGGGGTCGACTTGAGGGTTCCAGTGATACACCAGATTGCAGTGTTCGGTTGGACATCAACAAGTCGAGTGTGACTACTTCTGGTGCATACTGGTGCACAGTACTCGGCGACAGAGTACACAAGGACTATCGATGATGTCCGTAGTACTTGTGCTCATGCTCCCCAACTTGTGCTTACCAGCTTCCGGACCAGGTTGACCGTTACTGTGGTCTTGGCAGCTACCTTTTTCAGGTGGTCGTGGAAGCTTAGTGTATGGTCCAGCGTCACTCAGAGATAGACTGTAGTGGGGTCCTGTCACAGTGTTGCCACAGAAGGTCACTTCAGAGTGTGCTTGGTGCTGCTATTATCAAGATGAAATGCAATGACTCTTGTTTTGTGGGGATTTTGCTTGAACCTCTATTTCCTGAAATATTACCCGTGGTCTTTAGGTCTTGGCTCAGAGTTGTTTCGATGTTGTTAAACGTGGCTTCTTGCGTTTCCAGGGCAAGGTCATCCGCATATACAAATTTGTGTGACCCGGTTGATGGCATGTCACTCGCATAGACATTGAAAAGCATTTTCGTAAGTACTGAACCTTGTGGCAATCCATTGTTGAGGAAATGGGATGAGCTGGATTTGTTGCCCATACAGGCAAGCAGTCGCCTATTGTTCAGCATCATCCATATCAGGCATATTGTTTTGAGGCAGGGAATGGTCTTGGCGAGCTTCAGCATCAAACCCTTAATCAAGACCATGTCGCAGGCTGATGACAATTCCACAAAGGCTGCGCTGGTTTTGGATTTATTCTTGAATCTGGCCTCGATGTGTGTCACAAGGACCAAAACTTGTTCACAGCAACTGCGTCCAGGCCAGTATCCCGATTGTTCTTCAGGGATTACTGACTCGACAAGGGGGCTGATTCTCCGCAGCATGATGCATTTACAGGCATTTCTTGGTCGTGCACAGGAGTGATATCGGCATATAGCTTCCTGGCTCATTGGTAGGCTTGCCTAGTTTGGGTATGGCAATGACCATCACCTCCCGCCATGCTTTGGGATGCATTGAGTTTTGACAACCATTGAAGTCCCTTAGGGCCTTAATTATGGAGGAATTCTCGGGGGACATCATCGCTGCTGGTAGCCTTGGCTTTCTTCGTTGGAGTCAGATCCTCCCTCACTTCCTCTGTGCTGATGGCGGTGGGGATTTGAGGTCATTGACTGGTGTAATTGCCAATGGATTGATCTTTTAATATTTTTGTCGAGCAGTCCTTTTGTGTTTTACACTAGTTTGGAGGCTATATAGTTGGGAAGGACTCTTGCGGTCCGGTATTCTGTTGTGTTAGCAGCACCCTGTTGTCGTAGTCGGTCCCAGGCATGGTGGCTGGAGTGTGAAGTTCAGGCCTTCAACGCACTCAATCCACCGTTGGCGTTTGGCTGAGTCTATAAACTCTCGCAGGGCCTTTCCAACCTGTGGGCTGCCCGACTAGCTGTACTGTCTGAGCAGATCCTGGGTCTCTTTTGTCCAGCGGGGAGTGTATTCTTTCTGGAAACCTCGGGGAATACTTTTCTTGGCGGCTGCAGTACGGGGGCCAACAAAATGGTGATAGCATTCCGGTCTTGCAGGAATTCGACTCACCACTCTCTCTGCAGCCTCCTTATAATGGTACCAGTCAGCTTTGACCAGGTTACACCTTGGTAATCGTTTTGACACATTCACAGGGATTTCCATGTCAATGTGAATGATAATGGGCCTACGTTGACTTTTGGGGAAGCTTGGGAGTAGTTTCCAGGATGCGTGAAGTGTGCTCCCACTTGGATAGTGTGCACCCAGTAAACAAATAAACGTTGGGTTAACGTTGGAAGGTGGTTGGAACTGTTGAACAACGTTGGCCAAAAGTTCCATGTTTACTGAGCATGTGGTGACAGAGAGGGTAATCAAATGTTGCATACGATATATGTGTTTGTATATGTGATAGGGCATGTGCTTCATGATGCTCTGCACCAATCCTACAGGCCTATACCTACTACTGTACGTGAGAGAATATGTACGTGTATGTGTGTGTATACACGTGTTGCCGGCACACAATCAAGGGGCACACAATTGCCGGTAAGACTGGGTCCATCTCGGGAGAATTCCAACACAATCAGCAGGGCCACCTCACAAAAATGGGCGGAAAGCGGCGCCGCTACCCAGGAATGAGGACCCCTCCTGCCACACAACCTGCTGCCAACTTCACGGTTTTTTTCCCACCTCAAAAAGATTTTTTTTCTTTTATTTCGCACTCAGAGTCTTACAATTATGTTGGCTGATGCTGCGGAAGGCATTTATTTGTGCCACTTTACAGCCATTTTGATAATACATACAGTGAGGGAAAAAAGTATTTGATCCCCTGCTGATTTTGTACGTTTGCCCACTGACAAAGAAATGATCAGTCTATAATTTTAATGGTAGGTTTATTTGAACAGTGAGAGGCAGAATAACAACAATAAAATCCAGAAAAACGCATGTCAAAAATGTTATAAATTGATTTGCATTTTTATGAGGGAAATAAGTATTTGACCCCCTCTCAATCAGAAAGATTTTTGGCTCCCAGGTGTCTTTTATACAGGTAACGAGCTGAGATTAGGAGCACACTCTTAAAGGGAGTGCTCCTAATCTCAGCTTGTTACCTGTATAAAAGCCACCTGTCCACAGACGCAATCAATCAATCAGATTCCAAACTCTCCACCATGGCCAAGACCAAAGAGCTCTCCAAGGATGTCAGAGACAAGATTGTAGACCTACACAAGGCTGGAATGGGCTACAAGACCATTGCCAAGTAGCTTGCTGATAAGGTGACAACAGTCGGTGCAATTATTCGCAAATGGAAGAAACACAAATGAAATGTCAATCTCCTTCGGCCTGGGGTTCCATGCAAGATCTCACCTCGTGGAGTTGCAATGATCATGAGAACAGTGAGGAATCAGCCCAGAACTACACGGGAGGATCTTGTCAATGATCTCAAGGCAGCTGGGACCATAGTCACCAAGAAAACAATTGGTAACACACTATTCTAGATTTGAAGCTTTCGTGACTGCAAGGATCCATACTGTTGTGGCCGAAACGTCGTGATTTTTGTTATTTTATTTTTACCTACGTGACTTTACCGAATAGAACCAAAGAGTATGGTAACACACTACACCGTGAAGGACTGAAATCCTGCAGCGCCCGCAAGGTCCCCCTGCTCAAGAAAGCACATATACATGCCCGTCTGAAGTTTGCCAATGAACATCTGAATGATTCAGAGGACAACTGGGTGAAAGTGTTGTGGTCAGATGAGACCAAAATGGAGTTCTTTGGCATCAACTCAACTCGCCATGTTTGGAGGAGGAGGAATGCTGCCTATGACCCCAAGAACACCATCCCCACCGTCAAACATGGAGGTGGAAACATTATGCTTTGGGGTGTTTTTCTGCTAAGGGGACAACTTCACCGACAGGACAACTTCACCGTCATGTTTTGCAGAGGGGTCAAATACTTATTTCCCTCATTAAAATGCAAATCAATTTATGACATTTTTGACGTGCGTTTTTCTGGATTTTGTTGTTGTTATTCTGTCTCTCACTGTTCAAATAAACCTACCATTAAAATTATAGACTGGTCATTTCTTCGTCAGTGAGCAAACGTACAAAATCAGCAGGGGATCAAATACTTTTTTCCCTCACTGTAACGTAATGCCCTTTT